GGTCTTTAATACCTGTAAATTTTAGTTTGTGTGTGATGCAGTCAGCAGGTAATGCCCCCTGCAGAAACTCATCGCTCTGCAACTACCTGAAAGGAGGTTGTAGCCAGGTGGGGGTCGGTCTCTTCTCCCAAGTAACAAGCGATAGGACAAGAGGAAACAGCCTCGAGTTGTGCCAGAAGAGGTCTAGATTGGATATTAGGAAAAATTTCTTCGCCGAAAGGGTTGTCAAGCATTGTTGCAGGCTGCCCAGGGAAGTCGTTGAGTCACCATCCCTGGAGGTACTTAAGATGTGTAGATGTGGCGCTTAGGGATATGTTTTAGTGGTGGACTTGGCAGTGTTAGGCTAACGGTTGGACTCAGTGATCTTAAAGGTCCTTTCCAACCTAAATGATTTTATGATTCTGTGAGTTAGACAAGGAGGAATTAGATACTCCTGAATTATAAAGAGAAGTTATTTTATTTCCCTGGTGCTATTTAAAGTAGTAATGACATAAAAGATGTCATTATGTGACATTCAGTGCATGGCCCTTTGTTTTAGTACAGAAGAAAACAAGAAGAAAACTCTGTTTGAAGGATGGCATTTGAGGTACTAGAAGGCTGTGTGTTGTACAAGCTCGTCACACCAGAGATTTGGCAAAGGGCAATATTCTATCATATGCTAATACAAGTCTAAATAGAAAATGTGCTTGCTTATTCCTCTATTTTAAAAATGTACTACAATCCTCTTATAGTAATAGTAATTCCTGCAAAGCTTTCCATGTTCAAATAGCTTATTTTTGTGATTGGCACCTTAGAAATCTGAGAAGTTTAAGTGAGTAAGTGAATAGACACAATGCAGTTTGTAAACATTAATCCCCCAGCAGCTGTGGGCAAGCAGTGGGGGAGGATTTCTCTCTTTACCCGTGCAGGAACCATGGTGTTGGAGCAGTTGTTTCCTTTCCACAGAAAACATCTCCTTTATAGTCACAGCAGAATCTACCATCACCTCCATGGCAGGGATGCCATTGACACACACTGGTGGATGCTACTCTCTCAGCAGATGGTAGCCCCTGGACTAAAGCATTTTGGATTTCAGTAGAAATAGTTTCCTACTTCAAATTTGCCTCATGCCCATTTTGTTTTCAGCCTCGGGACAGGAAGCTGAGTGGAAACAGCTATTGATAGAACACAAGACTTTCTTCAAAGGGCTGTTTCTGCCACAGCTTCTCACTGAATTCATTTTCCTCCCAAGAAGCAAGTGTTAAACTCCAGACCCACAAAACACTGTGGGAGAAGGTCAGCAGGCAGCTGAGATCTGCCTCTGTATTTCTCCTTCTATCCTGTCTCTGCATTCAGGCTGAAAGCCACCAAGGGTTGTTATCTGTGAGTGTCCCAGCTCAGGTCCTCTGCCCTGATCTTCTATCTCTCTTTGAATAAAATGGCATTTTCACCTGTAAGAAAGGTGCATTTCATCCAGGTCCCATGGGAAAAATAAGACTGTTTTAGTCATCAGACCAGACTGGTACAAGATAACCCACATCCCTGGAACTTCTGTGTTCCTCTCTTGTTTTCCAGGAAGGAAAAATAAAAGCACTTGCCTTCAAGAAGTAACTCTCTCCATTTCTGCCTAAAAATCCATTATATTAGAGTTAACAACCAGAACACCATAATCTGTATCTGAACTGTCTCCATTGTAGGATCACTAGCAATCATTTATCAAAAGCCATTATTCATATTTTGTTAATTAATCACCTTTAGTGATGCTACACACCAGGAAGTATGTCACGACCAGTGCTGGACAGACCAGGGAGGGGCTGTGGTGAGTTTGGAATTTCCTCGGGCTAAATTAAGGTGAAGCAACACCAAACGATCAGTTGAACATTTTATTTATGGCAGAAGCAGCCTGAACTTGGAAGGTGTAACAGCAGGTGGCAGGATTTCTCACAAGAGGAATTGGCATGAAACTATGTCAGTAAACCGTGCGACCTGTGGTAACCACATATATCAATTCAGGGAAGAAGAAGATCTGTCCGTTGAGTCACGAGGTTGAGAGTGGACCCCCTTGCTTTCTACACGCCTTCCCAGAGAAGATCCTAGGCGTGGCTGAATCCACTCCTAGTCCCAGACTTGGTCAACGGTTTTATGTCTAAAGGGATGAGGTGTAGGGATTATGAAGGGGGGGGGGGGGGGGAAAAAAAATTTCACCAATCCTGGGTCCATCGTTGGTCCAGCCAGCCTAGAGGTCCAGTGCCGGAGGGCACGCGTGTGTGGGGCTTCAATTCGTGTCCTTTTATCATCTCCTTGCCCCTCCTTCAGGCAGGCACTCGAACTCATTAGACTAATTAGGTGTCATGCGTGGTTTGTGCTTTCAGAACCTTCAGGAAATGGGTCGGTGGGCTTGGGGGTCGTTTGGGGAGTAACTTCTTTCCTGCAGACATGACCATTGTGTGATCTTTGACCATGCATGGTGGGCTGCCCTGCTCAGTGTATCAGAGCACAGAACTAGGCATCTCCCTGCAAGCCCTCCCATCCCCTTCTCATCTGTGGTTCGTTGTTATGCAGGGTTCTTTGTCATGCAGAACTTGCCCCACCACAATGTTTGAGACATTAACTCTTTCAGTCTCTCACAAAGTAGCATACAAGGAGAGTGGTCGGATTATACATCGATCAGATTGCAGTCACCAGAGTTACCCCTTCCTTTATGTAAACCCACCCTACACGGTATCACATCCACCAAATTCTCTCTCTCCCCTGTCCCCCTTGCAAGATAGTCTTACTGAAGTTTTGGGGTGTTTCAAGACACAAGTCCTGGGTAGGCCATCTCCTTTCTAGCTATTTATGCCTTTAAAGACTGTGGTATCTGAATCTGCTGTCTTGTGCCCAGGTACGCTGTAGTGAGTGTCAAATAGGGGGTTTGTGCCAGAGGAAAACCCAAACCAGACTAAAGTTCTCTTGCAGTCACAGACACATATGCGTGGAAGGTATGTGTTAAGGTCCCTGCTTCAGAGAAGTTTTTAATTCTATGTAGAAACTGGCAGACATCAAGAGAGCCCAGTACAGAATACTAAATAGCTTTACAGTTAAAACTCATATATAGGTTGGGTGTTCAACTGCATGCTCTGAATCAGGCAAAATCCCATTTTCCAGCATTCCCAGAGATCAGTTCTAATTACTAGCTTATTAATCGTTCTGGTCAGGTCTGTCCCTTTTTGTAAGTGGAAGTTCGGGGAGGATTTCTAGCAGAAGGAGATCCTCCCCTGCTGGAAATGTAGACACACCTCCAGCCATTCAGACCCTCAAAACCTCCCACTTTCCGGAGGGTTTTATGCCTTTTTCACTTTTGCCAGTTTGGTTGATGGTCAGCTGACGGAGCATTTGGATGCGTGTATAAAGAGGCTAAGTGAAGGGGTGAGCATGGTCTCCAGCAGACTCTAGGGTATTCAGAGTCTAGGTGTTTCAGCACGTGAAAGAGTCTCTGACTAGTTCGTGGGCTGAGCTCAGTTCCTCGTCTGTAGGACAGGAGTCACCTCCTTGGCTGCCTTGCCGGTTTTGCCAAAGGAGGGCCTATGTTTTTTTCACATTTGAGATGCCATGGTGAATAGAGAGGTTCTGCTGTGATAAAACAAAACAAAACAAAACTAGTTCATTGCAATATTGCCATTTTAATTTTTCCTTATTTTAAAGACATTTGAATGTTTGAAATATACTCTGGTGTCTCAAGCACTGTGTAAAAACTTTATTCCCTGAAGAGGCCAAACAGTAATTCCTAATGCTCTCCAAGTAGGGTCTGGCACTCTGTAGTTGCTCTAGCTTTTAGGTGCGTGTGATTGAACAAAGAGTCTCCCAGCTCCCCCTTGTGTGGATGCTCTACTCCTGCTACGTCAAGCAGAAAACAACTGTGATTTGTGCTGCTTTTGATCAGACATTTCTACAGTGCTTTGCTGCTGGAAAGCAGAATAATACTGTCACAAATTTTAAATTAACAAAATATGCCTAGAAGGGATTGGTAGCTCTTGTTCGTCTGATTAATGTCAGGCTTGTAAAGTCTGTTCTCCAACAAAAAGGGCAGCAAATGTTCAAGTGAGAGATGTTAAAAACAGAGACTTTCCATTTCAGTGGATCTTTGCGTTTCAGTTATAATCTCTTAGTGAAGCACCCAGGACCAAATCACAAAATCAACCAGCACCAAGGGAGCTGAATTAGGTTGTATCAGTGTTCACTTTTAATTAGATTTGAAATGGCTATCCCACTGTAGTGCAGCAGGCAACCAAGTCAGTACCGCCCCTCAGGCCTTATTACTGACAACAACCTTAGCATAGATCTGCATATTTAGCAGCTGGGTGGATAGGTGTTATGTATTGGGAAATACAGGCAGGATTTGAAAAACATAGGATAGCTTTCGTACAACTAGATTTTTGCTCTCAAACTGGGGGAGTGGGGGACTTTCCTTTCTGAAGTGTCCATCTTCTGGCAGGAGTTTTTTGATGCAGCTTTTGTCTAACAGGTATTGTCTTATCATAATATTTTGCTGCTCAACAGTGGAATCAAGGCAGCACTGGTAGCAAGTACATTCTGTGCCACCTGATGTATTTTTATGGGTTTATTTTTCCCTTATGTACATTTCTATTCCTTCAAGATGTGCTCTGAGACATTTCCAATTTCAGCATTCTGCCTGTCTCATCTAATTCAATTGTAAGCTTTTCTGGGCAAGGACCATATCTGGAGTCTGCTTTCCAGTTTCATTACACAGCAGTTCTGCAAAGTGATCTTTTAAAAAAGTATCACGATGAGGGAAGGAACTTAACTTATCCATGGGGATTTAACATGTGAGAAGAGCATGTCCTGATCTCCCAAACTTTCAGCAATACCATACCCACAGGCACTCCTACCTCCATGTGCTCCACCCCCATTGGAAATAATCAGTGTGGTAGCAGATTTTTGCTTAGGGCTTCCGTTAAATGGGAAGAGGTTGTTCTTTGCTTTATTTCATTTTATCATTTTCACATTTGCTTCTTTTTCAGGTGTGAACAGAAAAGTTACCTATTCCCTGGCAGACTCCGCAGACGGTTATTTCTCAGTTGACCGGTCATCAGGAATCATTATTTTGGAGCATCCACTTGATAGAGAGCTTCAGTCTTCCTATAACATCAGTGTAAAGGCCTCAGATCAGAGCATTGTGCTGACCTTGTCCTCTTTTGCCACCGTTACCATTACAGTGCTAGACATTAATGACAACCCCCCTGTGTTTGAAAGAAGAGATTATCTTGTTACAGTACCTGAAGACACCTCTCCTGGCACTGAGGTCCTTTCTGTTTTTGCTACAAGCCAAGACATTGGTACTAATGCTGAGATTGCCTATCTCATCAGATCAGGGAATGAGAAAGGGAAGTTCAGGATTAACTCAAAAACAGGTTTGTAAAGTGGCTCTTACTTGTAATGCAAAATGAAAGCATCAGAAAAATGTGAGTGCTTTGGGGAAGGCTCTTGGATGAAAAAAATTTCAAGAGCAGAGACTCAGAGCTTGTCAATGTGGAATTAGCTGCACAGTTAAAAACCAATTTTAGGTTGGAGAGTGATGTAAATTACAGTCACACTCAGCTGCCCCAGCTTGAGTGGAGAATACTTTTCTCCATTAGTTGAAGTCAATGTAGATGTGACAACCCATTAGCCAAACTGTGCAACCCTTACAGTTCTGAACACTTGCAATGTTTACCTGCTTACCAGCTGAGTACAGCCTCAACAGTCTGGACCTTAGCAAGCATCAGACAGCACTATCAGGACCAAATAGCTGGCAGTCCTAACGTGACTGCTGTTTATACAACTGTATGCGACTTCACTGGCTTAGGTGGCTCCTGATTTGTGTTGTCTGACAGTTGACTTCAGCCATGGTTTGGGGGGTTTTTTTGTTGCTGTTATACATCACAAATTTTGAAAACGTACTGCTGCTTCTCTAAGAAATACTAAGAAAAGCTACCTTATTGGTGCAAATGGCTCGTTTTCTTTGAATTTCCTTAGTGGGATATATTCTTTATCTTTACTGAGGTTTTAATCCATCAACAGTAAGCTATGATTCTTCCGTGCTTCCCATTATTCTCATAATATTCAGGATGACCAGTACAAATCTGCCACCAGAGTTTCAGAGCAAAACAATCTTGATTTTGAAAGCTGAAGGTAACACTTGTTTGAGTGCAGCTGTAATAACCGGTAACCTAGAAAATCTCAAAATGATGCATTGTGTCATTTATATTACTGTGTGCAAAAATATCTCTCTGCTCTGTGGAGGCCACTGCCTTACATGTAAGGGACTTAACATAATTGTGTGTTGTCTGTTATCTTCAAAACATTGATTAGTGCTAACAAAATTTAAACGTAAATACACCTAGACAGCAATACTTAACTTCACATTTGACAATGAAGCCAAGGAGATAAATCAATAAAGACCCATAATAAAGCTTAATCACACAGGGAAAAAAAAAACCTATTTATTATTCATTAATGTGTGACAGCTCCATTATTATCGGTTTAGAGGCAGGAGCTCAGTTTCCAGACAGCCGGGTGCTGATGTAGCATGCCTGATCAAGGCTTGAAAAATAATGCCCTTCACACCATTTATCAGTGGGAACTCTCTGCTAGCCACTTGGAAGCTTCTCTTCAGGGCTTCTGCTTCCAGCAAGTCATGCTGAAAGGTAGGATTCATTTGGAGAGAGCTCAGATGAGATTAAGAAGAATGATCCAAGGTCTGTAAAATGTGGCTTACCAGGAAAGACTGAAGGAATTGAGACTATTTAAGCTAGCAAAGAAAAGGCATGCTGTTAGTATTCAAGCCTGTAAAAAGTACCTACGAAGAGGAGGGGAATAAACTGTTTTCCATGCCCATTCATGAGAAAAAAAGTTGTGAATGGGTTTAAATTGCATTTGGATTATTTCATTTAAATGATAGAAAGAAATTCTTTACTGTAATGATTATTAAGTACTGAAATACATTTCCCAAGAAGGTTAGGAAACTGATGTTGTTGGAGGTTTATATGAACATTAGAGATGAGTACATTCAAGAATGATGAGGTTAGCTGACCTGTGTTGGGCAGCAGTTGGACTAAATGACCTTTAAGCCCCATACATCCTTGCTCCTGATGGGTCTATATTGAAAAGGATTTGGCTTGCCAAGGTTGAGGATTTGCTTTTAAGTCTTTCCTGCCATGCCCAGTATTACCTCCTTCAAGGCATCGCTAGTAATCTGTGCACAACCCACTCCCCCCTTCTTGTTAAGGTTATGGGTACATGGGAAACAAGGGGAGGCTTTGCATAAAAATTGTTTCTATCCTAGAGGGGGTCTGGGTGCATGGAATGAGTCAAGTTACAGAGGATCTTGGTTTTGATTGTGTGGTGAGGGAACCCAAAATTTATAAACTTAGTTGAGTGGGGAAGTCCCTGTTTAATCACGTAAATGATAGACAACTGATTTCTCAAAGGTATTCATACCCTGTTCATTTGTATTTAATTCATGAGAAGTTAATTACATGGGAGTGAATTTCTGTTGACTTATCAGGGCTTATTTCCAGAGTTGGCATTCAGTTCTCCCATAGGCTCTGTGCATGAGCCCAGGCAAATGGGTGGATATGGCCCCCACTTCTCCGTCTACAATACTCATATAATAAAAGCTATTTTCATGAGAAACCATTCATTGCTTCATGCCTTGTGAAGGTCCTTTCTGCAGAGGCAACCCAAGTGCAATTAGCATCATTCTTTAAGCAAACGACAGCAGTAGAAACCTGACCAAATATTTTTATTGGATTGGGCAGTGTTACAGTTAGAACAACATATTTTGTATACGTGCCATGGTGATAAATAGCATGCTGTACTGTTTACTACAGTCAAATCCCTTAGTCCATAGCATTATTTGTTTTTCGCTGGCTGTTGACGTTCCCTCCCTTGCTTCAAAGGAGTGATTTCCATTTTTGAAGCTTTGGATTATGAATCGTGTAAGGATTTCTACTTAGTAGTGGAAGCAAAAGATGGAGGTACTCCAGCCCTGAGCGCCGTTACGACTGTGAACGTAAACGTGACAGATGTTAATGACAATGCACCAAAATTCAGCCAGGAGGTCTACAGCGCAGTCATCAGCGAGGACGCCGCCATCGGTGATTCGGTGATTATGGTGAGTGAGGCCGTGGGTGGCATTTAGGCAGCATGAAGCCCTCTGCCACATGACCTTTAATAAAATACTGCTGCACTGGTTAATGATGATAACTACTGCATCTTGAATCACCCAAACTGTTCTCTAGCCAATACTCTGCATCAGCTACTGCTTTCCAGGCTGCTGCCAGTTTCCCCCTGTTAGTACCAACTGTTGCTTTTTAACCCCAATATGCTGCCAAAGAGCAATGGCATGTTTAAGGCATTGCATTTCATGAGTCAGCTAGAAACAAGTGGGTTTTATTGGAAAGGCAGAATTCAACTTTTCAGCGACATACATAGTATTTGTGTAGCCTGGCATGCAGTGTGCCATACCCAAACCTCACAATACTCTCATCTTGGAACTTGTGGATGCAGAAAGAAAGCCTTGTATGGAATATTAAGATTAAAATATTGTGTATTTTTTAAGGCTAAAATTTTGAAAAAGTCCAAGGGGACCCTCCTATCAAAAACTGATTGGCTTGGTGCTTGGCTTGATGCTGTAGAGGTGCGGACTTCAGATGTAACTAGTCTGATGGAACATGAAGTCTTACTTTTTGGGGTGTTGAGCCATTAATATATCATACAGATGGCTTAATATTTGTTTTGCTAATTTTCACTCTTCTCTCAAAAAAGTTGATAGCAGAAGATCTGGACAGTCCTTCCAATGGCCAGATTCATTTTTCCATAGTGAATGGGGATCGAGACAATGAATTTTCGGTTGATCCTGTTTTGGGACTCGTGAAGGTTAAAAAGAAATTGGATAGAGAAAGGGTAAGACATGTGGGACTTCTTAACTTACAATGACTTACAGATGTGTATTGATCTCAACTCCGCTGCTAGCTTGTTTTGAAGAAGCTTCTTTTATACTCTGCAATGATCAGCCTAAGATGCTCCAATAGGTCTTTCTAATGTTGTTCCACTTCTTCCCACGCCAACCCTATCCCCAATCCTATCTACCAGCCAACTGCTCTGCTAGCATTCCCATCCTGCACTAACACAACTGAGGCCAGATCAGGGAAAAAAGCAACCCCGAATTTCTCCTGTGGTGCCACCGGCAGCTGTTGCTGTGTTAATGAGCTGCCTCCTCTCTCCTGCGCGTGCAAGCACACACGTGCAGCGGTGTGTGCGATGGGGTGATTACGACATACTCCAGATTGTGGCACCAAGCACCGAGCTGAGACCTCAGCCATTAATTAGCGCTCTACAAAACATGTCACTGGGGAGGTGATGTTATGAAGTGGCCAGGCTGTACCAAAAGTGAAGGAGTGCTTCATTAAACAGATTCTGCTGCTTTGTTTGCTCACTAGATTATTCATTCAGGGTGATTTATCACCATTTTGCCATAGCTAGCAATTAGCAGCTTTTGGAAAAAAAAAAAACAAACAAATACAGGTGCCTGTGCTACTAGCAGAGCAGGAGAGCGCTACATGGCTTCAAAAGTCTTTGCAACACATAAAGAAATCCATGCCTCCTGCCTCTGAGCAATGCGTCCACAAAACTGGGGAAGCTGATTGCTATCCTCGGAATGTGGGCTCAGCTGGAAAAGCTCTACTGGAAGCAGGGCTACTGCTTAAAATAGTGGCAAATATCCTTTCTGTATTATCACAAAGGCAGGATTAAATTGTCAGTGTTTGGTGGCAGAATGACTTTACTGCAGACTGTCGAGGACAGGGAAGTAACAATGGCTGTGCAGATTACAAATTTGCTGTGATATATTTCTTCTAAATGACATAGGCTTAATTTCTTAATATGATTTTATTTAGTTTCTGAAGTGCATCTGCATTCAGACACACACATTCACCCTCACCGGCGCGTGCATGTTTAATGCCAGGTCTGTTAGATCTGCATTTCCAAAGTTTCCCTTGGTTAAAATAAGCTGAGATATTGTCTTTTTCTTTGCTTCCTTGGCACATTTCCTAGACACAGGTGTTTCTGACCCCTTCAGGGAAAATGATACATGATGCCCTGTCTGCTGTAGATCCCCAAAGGCTGTGCTGAGTCCCAGGTTTCAGTGGTTTAAGGAAACTCATTTGCAGAGCTGCAATCACACAGAAACCATGACTTTTGCCATCTACCTTTCTGGATCCATTGAAATGAAAACAAACACACACAAAATTTGGGAAAGATCCCACAAAACTGTCAGTCTTGTCTTTAGCTAGCCATAGAAATTACAGCTCGAAAGGGGAAAAAAAAAAAAGATTAATTCTCTGCCTCAGTTTCTTGACTTTCCATACCTCAGGATTATTCCTCCCTCCTGTGTCACTATGCCCCCACCAAATCACAGTCTTTCTCCTCCCTACAACCCCTCCAAAAAACTGTTCCCTTTTTCTTTAGGTTGATCCCACATCCCAGAAGAGCCCCCTTGTTTCATACGCTTAGCCTGGACTCCTCCCTCCTACCCAAATTACTTTTATTTTTCAAATGGCTTTTGATTTCCTCCCACCCTGAAAAAGCCCCTTTAACATTACGTTGTTCCCTTCCGCAGGGGCATACTTTTCCCCTTTCCAGCCCCGCACTGAGAGGCTGGAGTGGGGTGTTTTACCTGGCGCGCGTTTTGCCCTTTGCTCGCTCCCCCATAGAAGGATTCGCAGGCAGACGTGTCAGCAGCTTTCCCTGGGGAGCGGGAAGCGATATACATTAAAAAGGAGTTGTAAGACCTAAGGAAGCCAACATAAGGATGCAGTTCATAAAATCAAACTGTCATCCATAAGCTGTGCGTAGACAGAGCTTTTGCAAATTGTCACATACTCTCACACCTCACACATGGGCACATATGTGCGTAGAGGGCCCATGGGTGATGCACTGAACTGCCCACACCCTGTTGAGTAGTTTGTGTCTGTTGCAAACACGTAGGCTCATAAAACCCTTATCTTCTACTGAATGGTGGATAATATCCTGTTGCTACAGAGACTGTTGTCCTTAGTAGTCCCAAATGTTTCCCAGTGTGTTTAAGCCAACTGCCTGTGAATTTTTTCTTGGTTCTCCATCACCACGTTAGAAACGCTGTGTGTCAAACTGAGGTTGGCTCTAATAAGCAATTTATATAATATCCTGGAAACCAACTGTCAGATAAATAGAATCAGGTCACATATCCCAGGTGACACCTAGGAGAGATGAAAATGTTAGCAACAGTAGTAATGGCTGAGTTTGGATATTATCTGTCGTTTATTTTTTGTCTGCCCCTTTGTTTCAGGAATGCATCATCTGATACAGTTATTTTAATACAGTGAAGCTGTTATGTTTATTGATAGCCTTATAAAACAGAAGTTGGGACACAGTGTGGCAATAAACAGGATAATGTTATACTAAGGGCAGGGAAGGTAATGAGGCCAAACAGTTTTCCTTAGAATATGGTAGGTGGTGCACTAGATGTAAAGAACATGAGTTAAAATTTAGGACCGCTTTCACCATGATTTAATGTTTTCACCTTTTTGCAGATATCTGGTTATTCATTAGTTATCCAGGCAAGAGACAGCGGCAGCCCTCCTTTGTCTTCATCTGTGACGGTCAATGTGGACATTTCCGACGTAAACGATAATAGCCCTGTATTTACTCCAGCTAACTATACAGCTGTAATTCAAGTAAGTTTATCCTCCACATCAAAAACTTCTCTGACTTTTAAAATACAAAAGCATTTGGTTTCAGTTAAGTAGCTTTTGATGATTTATCTGCAAAAGATGTATCAAGTGAGCTTATTTAAAGGAAAGTATAAACATGTCTTTCTTAAGTCTTTGGTAAGTTTCTGTTTGCTAAGGGTCCTTAACCTCAGCATCTGTCACACGTTTTACCATTCATCCCCGGTGCGCCAGGTACTCTGGCCTCAAAAAAGTCTGAGCTGGGATGAGTTTGCACTTCTTTACACCGTGCTCAGTGTGCAAGTCTTAATGGTTAGTCAGGGCTGCTCAGATACAGAACCAGCAGAGCTCTTCGGTCCCTGGAGATGTGGTGGGTACCTACATCTCTGCTCCGGTCCATGGGGCAGAAGTGGTGTCAAATAAACGCTGCTTGTGAAATGCTGTCTTGGGCAAAGAGCATTCAGTTGAATATTCTTGATAGCAAAATGTGGTATTTTATGATTGTGGTATCTATCATTTTAATCTTTTTCTTTATATGCTGTGTATATGTGTACAGGAAAATAAACCAGTGGGGACAAGCATTTTGCAGCTGGTAGTGACAGACAAAGACTCTTTTCACAATGGCCCCCCTTTTACCTTCACCATCCTCACCGGCAATGAAGAGGAGGAGTTTACGCTGGACCCTCACGGCGTCTTGAGATCTGCAGTCATCTTCAAGCACATGGTCGCAACTGAATATGTGCTCTGTGTGCAGGTACAGCTTGATTTTTGCATCTGCACAGAAACAAAAACCCTCATAGTGGTAGGTCATCTGTACATTGCCTGTATGGGTTGGTTTCAACTGACTATATTCTATGAGTAAATACCATGCATTCCAGTTCACAAGTGCACAATGTGGTATATTTCCTTTGATGTCCTTAAACCTAATTTTATATAAATATAAATAGGTAGCCAGCCACCTTTCCAATTTCCTCCGCATGAAATGAATTTTCTGAGCAGCGGCCGTTATGATTTAAGATTTTCATCTTTTTTTTTTTCTGTAGCTAAGCGAGGAAAATAAGCAAAAATGCATTATATACATATAAATACACCACAGAACGAGTGACAGCAAAATATTGTTCTAGGAAGGAAAATCACTTCTGCTTTTAAGTCATAAATTTAAACATAAATTTTTGGAAGCCTACCAAGAATTCATGAAATCACATTTCCAAGGTCAACTTAGCTTTTAAAGAATGTGAAAATAAGACATACAATAGAAATCCAGCTCAAACTTAGCTTTAGAGTCATTGTTGAGGAACTTTGTAACCAGGGTAATTTTGATTACAAAAAACTGTAAATCCCAAAGTAATTTGTCCACATTGCTCAGGCCTGCCAGAGAAAATGTAGTAGGGTTCAGTAAATATGCAAGTCTAGGGAATGAACTATGCTTCTTCATTGAAATGGACGTGGTCCTAGAAGCTAAGTCTGAAAAGCAGGCTTCCTCCACTTGCTTTGGTGGAATTGATTTCTCTAAATACAGCCCGTCTGCTCCCTTACAAGCACATTTAATGCTGTTCATAGCAGTAACATCCTTAGCTAGTTACAGTTCCAAAAATATAATCTCTGATGCTAATTAACAGTTCAAATTGAAATAAAGTTTTACAAGTTTGTCATTTAATATCCCTGAAACCTACTTTTTGAAACTTGTAGGAAAATAAAAAACCCTCACCTTTCATTCTTACCATGCCTTCATCCTAAAATATCCTGTTTTCAGGGCAATTTGCTAACCAGAGTTCCAGTATAGCCAAAACTGGGCATGAGAATTAAATTTAAGCAGCATCCTCTAGCTATGTAGATCCAAGTATGTCATATAAATGAAATATTAGACAGACCGCAATGTCTGAGATGCACCAACATATTCAGAAAACCACGCTGTTGGATTGTGGAGGCCTAATTCCTCCCAGTATTATTTTCTTTAGGGATTTCTGCAGTGAAAACATATTTTATAGCTTCCTGCTGTGTATAGACCATAGAAATGTTTCTTTCCATTCATATGTGCCAGAGTGCTGCTTCCTCCTTTCCACCATCAAGTTCCTCCTCTATGTTAGGTTTATTAAAAAGTAATGTTAAAATTGAAAGTAGAATAGGATGTAATCTCTGTGCATGTACGTGTGTGTGTATGTGTGTGCACATATACATAAAATCTTTCTTTGAATCCACCCAGCCCTATTAGGAGTGAGGATGAATGATCTTTAGAGTGTCTGAGAGTACTAATCTTTTCCTACTATTGTCCATATTACTGTTGCCATCCCACCTTTTTTTTTCTTCAGCTTGTAAATTTTCCTCCCCATGTCCAAATACAAAGATCTTTGAAGGTGTGCTACATCTCTGCCCAGTGACAGTTTAGTCTTCTGTTCTCTGGAGCAAATAAATGTGTGGAGCAGTATATCTGAATACTGACTTCAGTGAAACATTTTTCTTAGTGCAGGAAGGGACACTGATTCAAGTTTGCACACCTTTCTGTCAAGATGGCCTTGGGTTTTTTTGTGATACTTGCTCTTTTAGTCTATAAAAGAGTGCAAATGATGCTATCATACGTGCTCTGGGTCATACAGTCATCTGTCCAAGTGCAGTGCTGCTCTCATATGTTAGCATTGGTAACAGCACAAGCACCCTATTTCATTTTTGGATGGTGATAAATTTTATTTATTTCAAGCATGTTTCTTGATTGCTTCAGGTAGAGTAGTACACAGCAATGTTAGAAAAACTCTGAACTCCCTCACATCCACACAAACTAAGCAGCATCTGAAACACTTTGGAGCACACCAAACAATGCAGAAACTGATGCTGGCATTTCACTGGGCTTCAGTCTCTTTTCCAACGCAGAAGTGAGCCTAAACTCCGTTCGGTGCAGAATATACCACATTCAAATGGCTCAGTTGTGAAGAGGACAAGTGATAGCTGTGGGATCCTGGGAACATTTCAGTTTGAGTAATGAGACATTCTGCTGACACATTTCTCTCTTCAATCCACTTAGATGAGGTATCTATACTTCCCTAAAGGGTTTGTAAATTCTGCTACTAGAAATGGCTGAGATGTTTCCTTACATATGTATTTTGCAAATGCATTTGGGAAGTTCTTTTGAGAGGTCTTCAGAATTAGTGATGCTGTGAAAATATATATAGCAAAAAGTTATGGTTGTTGGCTGTGCTATGTGTGTGTTTTATTTTCGTTTGTTTTTTTTTTTTATTTTTTCTAAATTACATCATTAGGCAAAAGACTCTGGGAAGCCTCAGCAGGTTTCCCACACCTACGTTCAGGTGAGGGTTATTGAAGAGAGCATTCACAAACCAACTGCCATTCCACTGGAGATTTTCATTGTCACCATGGAAGATGATTTTCCTGGAGGAGTCATTGGGAAAATTCATGCCACAGATCAGGATGTGTACGATGTCCTCACATATACACTAAAATCAGAGCAGAAAAGTTTGTTCAAAGTCAACAGCCACGATGGAAAGATCATTGCCCTTGGAGGGCTCGATAACGGCAAGTATGTCCTGAATGTCTCTGTCAGTGATGGCCGGTTCCAGGTACCCATCGACGTTGTGGTCCACGTTGAGCAATTGCTACAAGAAATGCTGCAGAACACAGTCACCATCCGTTTTGAGAACGTTTCCCCAGAAGACTTTGTGGGCCTTCACATGCACGGGTTCAGGCGTACCTTGCGAAACGCAGTGCTCTCTCAAAAACAAGACAGCCTGCACATCATCAGTATTCAGCCGGTGGCAGGCAGCAATCAGCTTGACATGCTGTTTGCGGTTCAGATGCACAACAGCGGTTTCTATAAGCCCGCCTATTTGATTCAGAAGCTTACCAATGCAAGGAGACACTTGGAAAATGTGATTCGTATTTCTGCTATCTTGGAGAAGAATTGCTCTGGTCTGGATTGTCAGGAACAACACTGTGAGCAAAGTCTATCTATTGATTCACATTCCCTGATGACCTATAGCACGGCACGAATTAGTTTCGTGTGCCCCCGCTTTTACAGGAATGTGCGCTGCATGTGCAATGGTGAGTACCGCTCCCTCTTCCCCTCCCATCTTTACACATTATGCGATAGGATCGGTTTTATTCCTCTGATGCAGATTAGAAGGGGCATTTCAATTCAGTCCATTAAAGCACAGCTGGCTGATGTGTTGTGGGAATTGATTTCTCAGGCTCAGGAAGAATTGTTCGTGTTTACTGATGTAAATGGAAGTTGATGAACTTTGGCCTTTTACGACAAAGACCGCTTTCCTGGAGGCTCCATAATCAGAGCCATCAACCAACTTCCAGGGGAGGGGAAGGAAGGGGAGAGGAAGAGAGAGGAGAGGGAGGGATATGGTTTCCCACCCCCTCGGTGCCACCGCTGGAATAAACCTGGAGCGTGACCGTAGCAGAACAGCCTGGTCTGCAGCGATGCACCAGCAGTCTCCAAGGAAAAGGACCCCTGACCTAAGCAGTGCAGGTGGAAAGGGCTTTTCCAGTCCCGTTTTTGCAGAGAGGCTTGGAAACCAATGAGGTATTTTATTAAGTAACTGCAAGCAAGCACTCTTCCTGACCTTTAATGCTACTGTAGGTGACAGGGAGGGGTTTTGGCTGGGTTTCAGGCTGTTCCACGTTGTGACAGAGATTTCATATGGGCATATATGACAAATAGACTTGAGAGCCAATCTTCCTTATGATTCTGCACTTGAAGTATAAAACCTCAGGCAGTTATAATAATAGTTCTGTTTCTTTTGTTTGCCAGGCTATTTGCTCCTCATTCCACTTCATTTAAGAGTGGAGAAAAAAGCTGCTGTAAAATCAATACATCTAAGTCTCCCTCATCTTAAGCACACATGCACACATACACACACAGAGAGCAGTACAAGAATTCAGCAGTCATGTCTCTCGGTAACCAACCTTTGTTTCTGCAGCAGTCGGCAGGACTTCGTGTCTTACCATCGACTTCAGAGGGGATGAAAATAGGCATAAATTGCATAAAACTTAACCAGAAATCATTGTCTCCCGCGGCACGTGAATAATAATGCCATAGAAGTTCAGTTCTGTAAAAATATCAGAATTCTGTATCTGAGGTATTTTCCTGTACATTCAAGAGCAGACTGTCTGGTCAATTTTTAAGTAATAGCATTATAAGTCTCAAACAGATGTATCTATTATAAAAATAGCCAGCATTTTGTTACATATGAAAGGCTCTGAAATAAAGGATTTTCACAGGTTTAAAAGGGACAATGCTGCAATACCTTCCAGACGAGTCCAGGATCCAGTGCAGGAGCCCTATCTGCAAAACACTTTTATATTCTCTAAGTCATAGCTTTGTCTCATTTTTGTACCAAGAAATCACAAATCCTCATCTCCATGGGGATAGCGATAGCCCTCACTGTCAGAAATTGGTTTTCTGGCAGCCAAAATTTTCACTGTTTATAATTTCATTTCACTACTTATTAAAGTCAATAATGATATATTATTCCCTTCAGATACTAAGTGGATCTGCCTCGTAATCCCTTAGCTTAACTCCAAAAAAAGGACTTTGCAGTGCAGTACAGTTCTCATCCAGCAGCTCTCTCCCTTTTCCTCCCTGCACAGCAAGTTTGCACTGGAAGCACAAAAATTCAGCTGGAGCAGCGATTTCCAGATTTTTCTGTCATGTTCCAGTCAATCCTCAAAATGTACGGCAGGCTGCCGGAAAGGCAGTGTGGTTTTGCAGACCGACTGTGGTCCCTGGTCTCCGGACCATTTACCGTGGCCTGAAGACTTGCTGTATGGGAACGGTTGCAACAGGCGACTTGTCCCTGGTCCAGCCCGAAAGCTGGATGGGCTCCCACAGCTCCCGTTCGAGGCACTAGGTGCTGATTCCCCATGGGCGATGCACAAGACTTGGGATGGGGTTGTGCATGTGCAATCCGCCACCCAGTCTGTAACAAAAAAGTGTCCAGAGCTGCTAATTTAAGTCTAGCTACCAGAGAGGTGAAAGCCTTGGTGCCTCTTTCTTGCACAGAGATCTTGTGGGAAGTAAAAAAACCCCATGCTTTGCTCTTCTCCACGTTAGTTAATATTTCAGCCTCTTCTACTGTTTTTAATTAAAGGAGCCACAAGAAATGTCCTGGTATTTAGGTAAATACACAGACACACACTGTGTTTTACCACATAGGAGGTAACACAGACTTCTGAGGGAATATTAATTAGAGAATGTGTGCATAGTTTTGCTTTCATGAAGGCTAAAGACTAGGCCCAGTAAGAGAGTTAGAAAAATGCAAATACTTCCTTGATCAGTAGTTCTTGTACATGCACATATATGCAGTGAGTCAGGAAAAAGCACACAAAATACTAGAATAAATGTAATTTGGCTTGTTTAACAAGAAAGCATTAGCAAGATATTATCAGTATAATAAAAGTATTATACTTCTTTTGTTACTAGGATAGTTTCATGATCCAGTCCAGTAAATATTAATAGCTTGAATTATGACAAAGCCATTAAAATATTGCATATGTTTCCAGAGAACTGATTTGATTATGACCCAGAAAGCTTGGGCTTGAACTAATTCACTCATTCTTGAAATATGTATCATACTTGGAGTGTTTTTCCCACTGGCAGATGTCACAGATATGCACAATTTATGCATGCCAGCTGTGCATAACTTACCTAGATTACCTTTGTGAGCAAACGGAGTTACCTAACGTGAAAATGCAGGGAGACTGTAAAAGCAGGCAGTGGGTGAACTTCAGAGGTTCAGCAGCTCAGTTCTGGAAGGGTAAGTTCGAAAGTTCAGGTGCATCAATCTAAGCCTTTAAAATCAATAAAATTGAACTAAAGAGTTTTCCAATAACAGACTGTCTCCTTAGATTTCTGGCTCATCTGCTTGTGTTTGTATGAAAAATATTGTACCAAACTGGGGTTTGTTGCAGTGTGGCTATAGGGGCTATGCAATTGCCAATCTCCCGTCACATGACGTGAGGTATGCAAACATCCGTCAGTGCTTGTGGGAAATAAAGATAGGAGGACCGGCATAAATATATTCGTGTAAAACAGTTCTCGTGACATTCTAATTTTTCAGAAGCAAAAATCTATTCCATATTTTTATTTTTTTCATGATGCAAAGTAATTCTTTTGTGTTGAGACAAAGGTGCAGGGAAGAAGCAGGTTTTGTTGGGACTGCTTTGCTATAGAGTTGTTCTGCATTATAATCTTTCAAAAGTGAGGTTACATTAATATGTTTATGGGAGAGGGCTCGATTGAAATCATCTTGACAAATGTGGGTATATATCTACATCTGAGCTGGTCACTCCAGGCCCCATTTGCAGACAGTGGAAAGAATGAGGTATTTTTAATGATGTGATACATCTCTCCCTAGATGTCTAAAATCAGTCGGATGAATCATGCCCTAAAGTTAGATGAGATGAATTCCATTTCAAGTGTTTAATATGGTTCTGGCTTAATAGTTTGAAAGAATTTTTCTAATAGACCCAGAAGTGTTCAGCAAAAGTGCAGACACTCACATCCACATTATTTAATCAAGTGAATAGCAGCCTTGGTCCACTTTCTCGTGAAACCAGGCAATTCAGACTTTATGGAGCCACTTCTAGCATTTTGTGAATGTTCTGACAAAAGGAAATCGTAGACTGTGATGATCTGCTATTAATATAGGACCTAATCTTCAGAGGTGGTTTGTGTCCTCACCTCCACAGAGCACACACTGCCTCTTAAAGAGTCCTGGGTGTTTTGCGGGATTGGGCATCAGGAACCCCATTCCTGTGTGTACAACACCACTTTTCCCATTTTCAGGAAGCACACAGGTACTAATGAGCCTCGAGTTGTCCTGGCACGGTAGCCAGGAAGATTGAAGAAGGTGGCGTCCTGTCTGTGCTTGGGAGCAAAGAACTGCAGATAAATTTGATAGATTTGATTTGGCTGTAGTCCTTTTAACATTGCACTTGTGTAAGGAGAGATGTTTCTCCCTGTGAATATCCCCCGTTTTAAGGCCCATGCTGACAACGCACAATCTCATATAAAACGTGGGAGAGCTAAAGCGTGAAGTGGGGGCATGACTGTAGAATTGGGGCAAGCGGGAATTGCTGTCTATCACTTAAGGGGTCTTAAGGGAAGCTGTGATCAAGGAGTGGATGGAAGAGGTCAAATGTCTCAGTTCTTCTAAAACTGGGAGAGAATCTGATTCACTAGGACATACTGCGTGACACAAAGTTTTCCAGGGGCACTTGACCTTACTGAAACCCATGGCTGACTCGTGCAGAAAGAAGTTTGTGGTATCTGCACTGTGATACATATGCAGTAAGCATTGCTTACCATACCTGGTCACCGTGCTCCAAAAATAAAAACAAACTGCAGCTCATGAGTTGACAGTCTTCCCTCTCCACTAAACTAGTTATGAGGTTGTTTAAAAGTAACAGTTTGGAGTTTGCTTTACGTGCTTTCTGGGACCCTGGCCTTCAGGAGTCACCTTTCAAGCTTCCTTCTGCAAGCAAGAGAAACAGAGTCTTTTTTTTAATATTCATGCAGATTCAGGAGAATGGGCTTACAGAAAAATAATAAAAAAAAAAAAAAAAAAAAAAAACATCACAAGGCTCAAGTTAAAATTGTTGAAGCACTCAATTTTCAAAATATATTTACATTCCTGGAAGTGATCCTTCTTTGGAGGGGCAGGAATTAAATAAATGTCTCATTTTGCAATGGAAGAATGTTTTCTTCCTCAGTATACTAGTAGGGAGATTGTAATACTTTTACCTTCTTTTAGAGAATTAAACTGAAGATGATCTCTCAAAATCAAGTGGGTCTATTCCACCTTTTCCTGCCATGCACTGGTTGATGCTAGCTCATGTGTCTGTGACACCTTGTAGAGAACAGCTTTATTAATACTAATGTGAGTTTCAAGGGAATGCCGTGGATTATCTGGACTTGTCTACAGAAAAAAATGATCAGTTCAAATCTATATGTCTTGAATCTCTTCTTGGATGATAAATAGACTGCTCTTCGGAGTGGAAATGCAACATTAGAATAATTTTATTCAAACTCAGGCTGTAAATCTTTGATGTGGACAACATAACCTTGAACAATTTCACAATTTTGCTCCACATAGTTGTGAAATTAGCCTGAAAACGCATGTTAGCTAGGGAAATGCAATAATGCAGATTTGTAGCTTAGGTTCTTATAACCATACAGACAGGCGTAAAGCATTTCTTCTCCCTAGTCTGACTGTTTTAAAAATTTTGTGACAGCTATGAAATCCTGCTGCAGCAGGATGAATAAAAAGTTGATTTTCTTGTTATCTACTTGATACTAGAAGAACTATTCTTGGCCTGCCAGGATAAGCAGTTCTTTAGCGTATCTCCACAGTTACACTAAATATGTTAGATCCTTTCCATACAGTTTTTGACTGTGGAGGGATGACTCTGAAGTACAAATCAGAGTTTGAATCAGCTAAAAAAACTGGCAGAGAGGGATACCGAAGTAAGCTATTGCTTTATTGCTTCATGTCAAAGATACACTCATAGGTTAGGGAATGTGAAAATTTGCGGAGCCACATTTGGAAATCTCAGTGCCGCTTTCTGCTGCACACTGACGAGCTGTGGGGCTTTTGTCCAAATGACTTGTCTGTCAGCTACGCAGACGCTCACTTAAATTACAGCCTCACAAAAGGTTTAAGTGTGTTCGGAGAAGAGATACACTCTGCATACAGCAGAATGCTGTGTATTTGTCACATACGAATGAATTAAAATAGCTGAAAGAACCAAGTAGAAAGTACAAGGCAGCCTATAGAATATTTAACCGCCTGTTATCATTTCAGAAATAATTGTTACTTGCCATTGAATTGCAAACAATGTGGGGTTTTTTCCTAAAAAAAAAAAAAACAAACAAAAAAACCCCCCAAACTATAGAAAACATCATATTCTCTGTTAAATTCTGCAGACCTTACATCTAAATAGAATATAGTTCTGTGGTGCAGAACCCTATTAAATGACATTTGTTTCTTGATTCTATAATACTTAAGTATGACTGTATATTGCAGTTGTTATTCCTGTTAATGTTACCTACTAAAGTGATTAATAAAGATTGCCATGCATCATTTTCTAACAGTGCTACAGGCAGTACTGTAAATCGTTTACTGCATAGACCTCTCAAACAAATGTTTGACAAAGGAGGGGAGGATGTTAAAGATTAAATTGACTGTGCTGTACATCAAGCAAGACATTTACAGTCATTGCCATATTTGTAGTCAGCCCATGTCCACTTTGAAACCTATAGTAGTAATTTTTCTTTTTCCAGAAAATACTTACAGTGCCAGGTAATTTCAGCTGTGCTTGCTATGAGCCCTGCTTGGCTTGTAGTGAAGTGTGAGAGGAATAAGATTCTTTCTTTCATTACTTTTTGGAGATACGCTCTATGACAGGTTGATTTCTTCCTTTATAAATTGTAAATAAAATACATATGCTCAAAAACTAAAGTAGTTTTTGAATATGATAAGGGTCCAGCAAAAACCAAGAATGCCAATATGCAGAAAGTGATGGATAGGAAGGTCCTGACTTTTTATTGTTAAAATCATCACCTGCATGTGTTAAGTAAATTAATCTGATAAGCAAAACAAGAGACACCTGCCCATTCCCAGCAACTGGCTTTCACTCTCTTCACGCTCTGGCTGCAAATTAACAGAGGCAAGGGCAGGAGTGCCTTTTTTCCTGCACTTCAAGGCTACTTTCATAGCAGCCACACACAGATGTCCAATGGTAGAAGCTGACCTTGCATATACCGAGTTCCTCTACCGCAACCAAGAAAAGGCTAACTGTTGCGGAAATTGTATGGTCCTGAGAATTCATATATTCAGCAGCAATAGTTGTATTGTGTTTTGCATTATTGTAGACAGTGTTTGCATATCTTTTAAGATGAGGGCAATCAAAACAGATTTATTTAGACACTTTCAGAAGTTATATAGACGTTTTAGCCAAACCCCATGGAATCCAAGAAGTTCCTTTGACGTTGACAGGCTTTAAAGTAAGCCCTTGACATACTCAGCTTGATAGATGTTAAGAATTTAGGAAGTTTTGAGGAACCTTAATGTAATTGTGTTGCACAAATATTTTAAGCAAATTTAAAACTCAATATTCATCTGTCCCTTCAGATTACTTCCCTCATGAAGTTAGTAGTATTGCACCTATTCTTGGGCAAGATCAGATTCCATACTAATAAAAGATTTTTAGGAAAGAGTTGACACTAGCATTCAAAATAATTTTAGCCAAATTATGCTCTTCTCCATATATAAAAGGACATGGATGTTTTGCCCAATTTATAATTATAAATTACAACTGGCTATTTAGAATATTAAGCTTCTCCTTTCTTCAATTAGGTCATGTCAAGCAATAGGTCAACTAATTTTTGATTTTCAAAATTTCTTCACTTTGAGTTCTTAGTGTCCATAGCAAGTAATCCACTTTTTTTTTTTTTTTCCCCCCCTGGACATACGCAGTTCCAGATGCAAGTGGACTTGCATAGTCACAACCAAAAGAAAGGAGGATAGGTTTCGGCAGCTTGGGCAAGGTGCACAATAGGATGTGAGATCTCAGAAATGTCAGGAGAAACATGGGGACAGGGCAAGTTTGCCTGTGCTGTATGATCAGGCTGGCAGCATGTCCTGTGCAGTATAAGGATGAAAAGTCCAGCTGTCACTCTGAAGCCCAGGAATGGCTTTTTCTTATTTTGTCTCCTAGGGAACAATACCTCCTTAAATTTTCTTCTCAGGGGTGTGCTGGGACAAAAGGAGTGTGTAGCTTCAAGTCATTTTTTGTCTCATATCTCTAAAGCCCCTGCGCAGGAGGCTTTGTGAGAAAATGAACAGCCTGAGAGTCACAACACCAATTATAAACCAGTTACTGCTCATAACAGTTGGTTTTTATAATATGTTTCCATGGGGTTTAGGGCAGCCTTTGAACAAGAACCATAATGGTTTTGCTGCATACTTGTCCGAAGGACGTCTCTTCTGTGAAGGTTTTTTTTTTTCTTTTTGTTATTATTATTAAGCCATTCTTTGCTTGTACTGAAGTGTGAGATCAATAATTGTCTTTCATTACTCTTGTATTGCTGCAGATCATGCTTTACACTATGTATCCCTGACAGTATTTTAACTTACTGCAGGAGGACTCTGCCCAGGGTCTAACGATCCCTGTCTGGAGAAGCCGTGTCCAGGGGACATGCAGTGTGTGGGGTATGAAGCTAACCGGAGACCGTTCATCTGCCAGTGCCCACCAGGAAAGCTTGGCGAATGTTCAGGTGCATGTCACAGCGGCAATGGGGCGTATACTTGAACAACAAAGTGCTGCCATTCTCCTTGTGTAGGTAGAGGTGCCACTGAAGTCAACAGAAGATGTACTGCTTAACCCTTCTCAGCACTGCCACGCAGCGTGTCTGTTTATAAGCCCTGTAAAATACTTGTCTTTATAGCTATGGGGCTGTATGAAGACCGTGATCCAGTTTCTGTTGGGAAATTCCCACTGACTTGGTTGAATCCCAGATCAGTAAAACAGGCCGCTAAGAAAACAGGACTTTTCCTAGAGGCTGTTACGCCAGATGTTTTCCTGCCATAGGCAAAGCTCTATAATTAACTCTTCTGCTTACTATTTAGATTACCAAAATTCCAGTCTTTATTGATGAAAACACTACACTATTCCAAAAAGAAAGTTTGAGGACATTTGTTAGTTCTCTGCAGCTGTGTTGTTCCCTGGGATATAAAGAGCCAGGTGGAACGCTGGTGAAGTGGAGCTTTTTGTTGACTTCAGTGGATCCAGGCATGAGAGAGGCTATGTGCTATTCCCCTGATAAAAACACAGCAGATACTGAGCTGTATCACTGTGGTCCTGGGCAGTGGTTGCAGGGAACTCATTGCAAGGGTTTGGCTGGCATCTGCCCACGCCTAACGTTATACCCATAAATCAACTGCCTGATGTACAGGCATGGTCATCTTTGACTCCCTCTGTTATCAGTGAGGTGAGATAGGTGCCTCCAGGGGTGTATAACCTTAAAAAAGGTGAATACTTGGAGAAACCTGTCTTTTTTGGAAGTATGGAGAAATAGAACTTTCCTCCATCCCCTGATAAATAAATTTAAAAAAAAAAAAATATGTTTTTGTAGTAGGTGCCAGCCTTTTTTCCCATCGAAGTTGGGTTTTATTTATTTCTTCCTAGACATTCTCATTAGCTCTGTAAATTCTTTAATTAACTTGACAGTTGAGGAATTATTTCATGTGTCACTAAAAGAACATGTCTTTTCAAAATGGTTATTTCAGGCCACACTTCTCTTAGTTTTGCTGGGAATAGCTACATTAAATACCGGGTTTCTGAAAATAGCAAGAAAGAGGAATTCAAGTTGGCTCTCCGTCTGCGAACGCTGCAAAGCAATGGGATTATAATGTACACCAGAGCGAATCCCTGTATAATTCTGAAGGTAATTAAAATAACTTATCTTTTCCGCAGTTGTTTTTCTTGATTATATGTTTTCTGTTGGCTCTTGATTTGGGGAATGCTGTTCTCATTTCAGCTGTAGATTGAGAAGATGAAGTCTGATCTGTTTCATGCTAACAGGGAAAAACAATTTCAACAATGGCAGCAACAACAACAATCAAAAAAAGCAGCTTGTTAGTAGTACTTTACTTGGATAATGCTCCATTGGGTGCTGTTCATTATAAGAACATTATGTGTGTCTGCATGCAGAAGCCAATCTGCACGAGATGTAATATTTGGCCATTTATATGACCATATAGTAAAAATGATGCATGCTGAAATAGCTGCTCTTCCCCTGTGTCCATGCCTGTGGATAGAGGATATGCCCTCACTGTTGTCGAGTTAATTCCAGAAACCAGCTGCTTAGAACATGCCTCCTACTGAATGTGAAGATTTCTGCACTCTGTGCATTAAGATTATTTGTTGAGAGAAGCATGGGGTAGCTGGAGATTGATATCCAATCAATATTTAATTGATAAGCTCTCCGTGCATTTTTGTTGTTTGTTGGCTTTCTGTGGAATGGGAAATATCTGCTGGATGAAAAGGGAGTGGTAGGCTCATCCAAGAGCCTGCATGTATAGTATTTCTGCTAAAGCCTCTAAGGTACAAAATGAAGATATTGACTTTTTTAACTCAGCCATGACCTATAATTCAGCAGCGGGAGAAATGGCACAGAGCCTTTTGTGTCTGTATTTGCAATTTTTAGAGTTCTTTTGGCTGAATGCTTAGGTAATGTTAAAATGGCTAGATGAGTTATTAATGGGCAACAAATAATTTTCTGGCTGTTAGACTGAAATATTTCATGAACAGGAGTACTGTCTGTCATTCACTAGTGACTCTCAGCGGTGTTCAGATTTGAACAAGACAATTGAGCTCTGCTTTGAGACACAGAAATGCACAGTTTGAACTTTTCAGTGTACTTTTTTGTTCAAAAAAACAAAACAAAACTGCAGGCTTGAATACCTTCTTTGAAGTCTTCATCAGAGTTGCTGTTAGCATATATCAGTAGGGAATGTTTGCAATTCTGTAGTTTTGAAAAATGCTTGGGAAAAAACATGGCCCTGGTGGAAGGTGCCACTTGAAAACAGTAGGAGATGGTACAAAGGCAGACTGAAATGGAGTTAGAATGATGATAGGAGAATTAGTTAGAATTTAGTGTATAAACCTATCATGATTAAGGAGTATAGCAGGTCAGGTCATAGGCAACTGAGTGGAAATCTCCAGTTGAAGCTGGGAAATTTTGCCGCCAAAAGAGAAAAATTTATGCTATCACAAAAAAAATGAGTAAGACAGCCCCTCATTGCAGTCACCTGGGTTGAGTTTTTAGTTGTTGGGTAGGAGTTATGTGTTTTCAGTCACCGCTTCACACAATCACCTAACCATTTTGCTTTGAGAAAAACTGGGAGGAAAAAATAATACTTGAAGGACCAGCGACAAGAGCTGTGGCTACTCTGCTCCGATCCCAGAGGCCAACCTTCAGGTCATGGTCTGTTTTGCTTCCTAGCTCTAAGAAAGGATTTCCAGCTCTTAACCCATCTCATGCAGCACTTGGTAGAGAGCTTCAGATGCAGCTGCCGCCTCACATGTCCGATGAGGTCCAGGGTTGTGTATGGATGGCTTCACTTTCTCCCATGCATTAACAGGGAAGAACACGGGGAATTCCCTTTCCAGAGCCTCATGCTTGGCTTTTAGGTAGGGCAAGATCTGCTGTTGCAGTGGGTACGTCCTTCTCCCAGGTCTGGCCCTTGGCTTGTATAAGCATAGGGTTTAAAGAAAAGTAAAGCATTACATTCGGCGTGTTTTTTGAAGAAATGGCGTCACTTAAAAGATCAGGAGTTGCTAGAGTTTTGTTTGTGAAGATCATTTAGCAGAGGAACATCAGACTAAGGTCTCACAAAAGTGCTCCACAGCAGATGAATGGCATTATGCCCATGGGATGTAGCTGTAGCAGTTCTCTTCAAGGGATGGCAGCTGACTCATGAACTGCACTTTGGGGATCCCTAACTCAGATATTTTCAAGCAAGTTACGCTTAGGCTTTCTAAGCATATGTTTTTTCATTTGTAAACCAGAGGTAAGGCTTTTTTTTTCTTTTTTTTTTTTTTTAACTAGGTACGTATGTTGTGAGATAGGGAGGTGCTCAGAAATGAGGCCATTAAGTAGATTAATTAGAGGTCTATAAATGTGAAGTTGTTATCATTTGAGCATTGCTTTCAATTAAATTAAACATGAGGAGACGCTTTCCAAATAGAGGATAAAGGATGGGATACTGTGCTCTTTGGAGCACTCTGGCATCACTCCAGCAAAGCACTTAATCACTTGCTTAACTTCCTGTATTTGAAGGCAATTGGAACTACTCACATACCTTAATTCTAAGCATGTACTTAAGTATCTGCTGGATTAGCACCAGAGGGCCCAGCACCATCACTGAACTCCAAAGGCAGAGGTGGAAGAAATTTAGACCCACCGCATAGTACGAGCCCGTGGGAGAACGGGCAGAAAACACCACCACTCTTGGGGCATATAGCGGCATTGATTTTTTTTGAAGCAAGTCTCCCCCATTGCAGTCGATTTAAAAATTAATGCTGCAATATGGTTTTCTGTGTTTAAATGACCATCTTAATTTTGGGAGCTCATACATTTGTGATAACTCCAGGGATGGAAATATTTCATAATCATAACACGGTGTCCTTCTTAGATGAATAATCAATTCCATAGAGCAAACTGCTTGTCTACTACTTTGCTGAAAGCCTACCAGCTATGCTGTATTGATACAATATAATAAGGGTGTTATTTATTCAGCTGTTTCAAATAAAGCAACTCATCCATCGATTTTGAGAGGTTGGCCATTTTTTTTCTTGTGTGCTCTTGCTTTTAAGACAATTGGAGCAAAATGAGATGCAGGTCGATGGCCTTTTCTTTTCCTTTGAAACGATTACGTGTGCCAAAATCAGTATCACCATTTCCTTCTTCCTATGTAGCACCTGTCTGGGAAAAGTAAGATTTAACAATTTAAACCATTACGAGGCCATTACAGAAGAGAATTCTATAATTTATTTCATTTTTTTCCAAGGAATATAATGGAAATTCAACTTGTTTTGTGAAATTTAAAGGATTAAAAATGCGTAAAGAAAGACTTTCCCGTCATGGCAGAAATACAGCTGCTAAATGGTAAAAGGCAAGCATATGTTCTTCTGTCCAGGCAGTTAATGTGAAACTTTGCATGGTTTAGTTAAGTGTACATTATACATTTTAACGCATTACTGCTGCATGGCTTATGCTGGATAAGACTGAAGCTTGGATATGATCCCAGTTATGGCTGGAGTTGAAACAAGTAATATTTTAATTAAATATACTGTTTTACACAAACGAACCTGAAATGTAATTCGGCTAACGAAATATTTCCCCAGATAGATTAGTAGGCAGCATGCTGTATCCATGGTGTGTGACTGCAGATGGACTGTGTGAGCCGAAGGTGGTCTCAGAAGAACCATTTGATCATTTTATTACCTATGTTGATACACAAATATGGATGTTAGCCAAACATCTTAGCCAGGCTAATATTCTAATATAATTTACAATATGTGTTTGGCTCCATTTTGCTCATTGAATGAAACTGTTGAAATGTAACAGATTGCATCAGCTTTTGGAGCCTTCTCTGTTCTTTGTACTTCTCTACAGGTGAGGAATTCTGCGTCTGTAAGAACATACGTGCTTAAGTATGCATTAACCTCACTGTCCTAGTAGTTATAATGAGAGATACTCTAACTAAGCCCAGAAAGGTCTGAGAGGTGGAAGCTTGGTGGGAATTTTCTGCCCAGCTAGGATGAAGCAGTGTCTCTCTGCTTTCGTCTTGGTGCAGAGGGTCTCTGCTGGCACCGTGGGCTGCTTTGGTGAGGGCTTGCAGAGTTTGAGTCTCTCTGCTGTGAGTCGGAGTAACCCAAGCTCTCTGCTGTGTTGGGTCACATAGATGGAGAAGAAAGCAGTGCCACGCGTTCAGTCCTGAGCTGAGAGTCTGATGGTACCAGCCCTTAACCAGACCAGTCATCCCACTGAGGTTATTGTCTGGATAACTGCTGAGCCTGGGCAACAGCATTGGCCATTCATTGGATTTCCATACCATTTGCTTGACTGTACCTCATTTAGTAAGAAGTTAACTTGAAGTTCAGCTTTTCTTGGTACCAAGGTCCAGGCTATAATCAAAGAGCCCCCTCTGAGGATTGAACAGTGTCCCTGACATCACAGCGGTTATGAGGGATCACGGGAACACCAGGGATTAATCTCTGAATCAAAGATCCGTGGTTGAATTCTCCGTGCTTAGGAGTGGAGACATTGTTTTGCCCTGTTGAGTGGAGGACCCTTCTCCTCCCTGCCCAGCCAGCCTCGCTGCTAAGTAGGCAGGACAGGAGCCCTTGGTGGCACCCACTCCTCGCCGGCTGTTCCTGCTCTTCCTCCTCCTCCTCCTCCTCCTCCTCGAGGGCCATCAGGGAACAAATATTTCCTCCCTGCCCCGCTACAGCAAGGCCTGTGACCATCTGATTAATGAAAGTACTTTTATGGTCCCATTGCTAGGGGTATCAGGGCATGTCACAGTCTTTAATGTACGTATCCGTAAAGCAGTGGTGTGAGGTAGGGAAATGACGTTATCCCTCTTTAACTGATGGAGACCTGAAACTAATGACTTGCTTGAGATCCCAGAGGAAGAATGTTGCAGAGTGTGGATTCCCATGCATATCTACCATATCTTAGGCTAGTACTGTAAGCATCAGACCATCCTTTCCATCTTTCACTCTAGCCTGAGGTAGGGGTTACTAGTGCCTTTTTAATAAAAGGAAGGAAACATAGCCTTTCAGACAATATATACTTACTGTATATGTCAGATCATCTGCTGGTATAAAGAAATAAAAATGGATGAGAAAGATGTATAAAACATATTTTAATGGCAAATCTTTTAGGTCATCATTTCCCGTATACAAATGGTGTAATATTTATCCCAGGTGCTCATATGTGGTGTTGTATTTATAAAGATAATTGGAAAAGCATGTTCTGTGAGTAAGGGTAATAGACATGCAGGCAGTAGGTCCTTCAGGGTATAAGTAGTCTTAGGGGAGGTATATGTATATTATACACAATCTGTAAAACAGTTTCCATAGGAAAAAGCCTTTTGACTAAGAAGCAAGTTAACTGCTTATCCAATGATGGCTGTTTTTCAAAGTGTGATATGTTGGCATGTATTTTTCTGTTTGATTTGTATTCCTGTTGAGCCAGACCACACTTTCTGAGCAGTGCCTTCAAGGTTTGTGGACTATTTTGTTGCACAGGGAGAAAAGAAACTATTGCTCCATCTCTGGAGAGAAAGCAGCTCAATTTATCAGGGCATCTTGTTTACCAAGATTCCTCCTGAGCAGATGGTTTAATAGGCCCAATTTCAATCTACAGAAATAGTTTACAGCTGAGGTTTGAGTCCTGTAAGAAAAGATTTTTTAATGAAAAATGATCCAGACTTATTTTTCTATACATCTATTAGCCTTTTTTGATTGAGTTGTAGGCGTACCAAGCAACATCCATCCCTCAGGCTTGTTGTATTACAATCATAGATCTCATTTCTTCTCAGTTTCATTACATCCTACAGGTCAGGGACTTCAGAAGAGCAAGCTACCCATAGCAGGGGCTAATTCTTGCTCTTCTGGCTGCTTCTACATGTGTATCCCTCTAACACCCCTCATGCCATGCAGAGTATGTAGGTAGCTGGCATTTATAGGGAGCTTGTCACGTGCTTAGCATCTCCGTGTTCACCCCATCCAAGCAACTGCAGAGCAGTGGAGTGGTGTGGTTTACACCCCAACTGCCCAGTGTGACTTGGCTTGAGGTTACAGCCCAGTTCAAATTCAGCTGGTCAGAAGACTGAGGTCTGGAAAGGAGAGCAAAGTCCAGGGATCATAAGAACTCAAGATTTTACCCTTAGCTTTTCTCCAGGTAGTTTTGTGAACCTCCAAGGAGAATGAAGTGCTGACAATGACACGACAGCAGAGCCTGCTCCTGTAGATCAACAGCATCCCATTTACCTTCAAGCCACATCAGAGAGCCTGGCAGAGAAGAGTTTGAGCACCAGTTCAGACACACGCCAAGGGATATGTCTAGCTAGCACAGTTTTAAATGACTATTCATGCCAGAAACAGCCAAAAATGGCCAAATACAGATGGACACAGTGCAGCATCCTCACGTCTGCATTAGCCGTGCCAGTTTAGCAGGCCACCAAAACTTGGGGGGTTCTTGCATGAACAGCTATGGCAACTCTGCTCTGCTGTGTTGTGTTACGGATCAACCAGTGAGAGTACAATGTGTGCTGCAGGGAAGGATGAAAAAGGACACAGCGCCTGAACTTTTCAGGGGGATAAATAATGGGACAGAACTGTCTTGAGATGGGATTTGCAGAAATAAATACTTCCTAGAGCATGACATAAAGGTAAAATAATTGCAAGAGCTTTCAGAGAGCTTGAATCCAATTAATGTGTCATAAGAAATTATTTCCAGCCTTGTCAGCCATTTTAAACTTATCTGCCATCTGTTAGAGAAACCTAAAATCTTTGAGTAAACTGCTAATCAGCAAAGCAGCACTTCATACCTATTCCCTCACTCTGCACTTTGCCTGGCCCAGCAGACTAGCACAGATTTTCCCTTTATGAGGAGTCTAGATGGGCGAGGGACAGGAGGGAGAGTGAGAAATCCTAACAATCCCTCTAAAGCCATGAATCCAGCATAAATATGAGGGAAGAAAGAAATGTAAGAGGCATCTTATGTCATCTGTAAGGTTTACACAGAGCGGGTAGTATAAAATCCTTGGAAAATAACTGACTTTCGGTCAACCAGAGTCTTACTGTTGTACTTAGAGAAACTGAACTTATGACACTTAGGGACAAATCCACACCTACTGAGATGCTCCAAAAGGTTACAGAGGCACAAGATGTGTGCATGAGCAGAGCACCTAACATCCTCAGCTGAAAGCAGTGGCCATTGACTTTGCCACAAGCCTCTCTCAAACACTCAGCGGTGGTCCCTTGCCCTGACTGTCCTTTTGGCAGCATCAACGACCGGGAGCAGAATCGCAGCACACGGGTGGATGGTGGGACTTGCTCGGAGAGGCACAATTGCTCAGCAGCAGAGCCAAGAGCAGAGCATGAGTCCTCTGGTCCGCGCCCTTTTCAGTGAGACATATTGTTATCCCAGTCCTCGCCTGTGTTCTGCATCTATATTTTTTCTATATTATTTCAGTTTGCCTGCAGTAACTGGCTTTGGGTAAATTCTGAGTAAGCTGATATTTATCACATTTTTTTTGTTAATGATAAAGGCACAGCTTTTTGCTGTTTTAGTGTCATGTAGGAGAGCAGCTTTAACACTGTATAGACACTGTCTAGGAGTCCTCCGTGTTTCCAGATTCTCTATGAGAGCGTATTATGAGACGGCTGAGTGCCTGAAGCACTTTGATTTCTGTTTTCCTCCCACAGATTGTTGATGGCAAACTGTGGTTCCAGTTGGACTGCGGAAGTGGCCCAGGAATCCTGGGAATTTCTGGCAGGGCCGTTAACGATGGAAGCTGGCATTCGGTGTTCCTGGAGCTGAATCGCAATTTCACGAGCTTGTCCCTGGACGACAGCTACGTGGAGCGCCGCAAAGCCCCCCTCTATTTCCAGACTCTCAGCACAGATAGCTCCGTCTACTTCGGCGCCCAGGTCCAAGTGGATAACGTCCGCAGCCTGACCGACAAGAGAACAACGCAGGTCTTGAGTGGCTTTCAAGGCTGCCTGGATTCAGTTGTCCTAAATAACAACGAACTGCCGCTCCAAAACAAGCGCAGCAGCTTTGCAGAAGTGGTTGGCCTGACCGAATTAAAGCTTGGCTGCGTCCTCTACCCCGATGCCTGCGAGAGGCATCCCTGCCAGAACGGCGGCACCTGTACCAGCGTGCCATCTGGTGGTAAATATTTTGCATTACTTTATGGGTTGCCCCCCCTTGCCCCCCCCCATATTCCTCTACAATTTATTGCCAGAGATGGTTTTATGCAGCAGCATGCTTGAAAAATCTCATGAACTCTATAAAACTCTGATAGGTATTGCAAATTGTGTAAAAGCTGTTTGCTCTATAAATAACGGTGAAATGGTGCCCCTTCTCATTGCATTAGTGTTCCAGGAGGAAATTGATTTATTGGCTGTTAGGATAATCCTATTTCTATAGAAACCGATAGAATTACAATTACCGTAATGCTCAGCTGGATTTTTCAGGATCCATTTACAGCATCGAAGGCTGTAAACAAAGATGGTGATTTCAAACGTCCATCACAGATGCAACAGCACTGTTGCCTTTCTCTGTTTCTGAAGCTGTCACAAATAATTACTGAGCTGTCCACAAACACCTTGGTCCTTTTGTGAGTGAGTAATTTGATTACATGTCTGCATGGAAAATAGCAAGTCCACCCCATTATAAACACCCCCAGAAGTGTATTTTACAGCTTCCTCGGAGGCCTGAATGCTTCAAGGTCTAAGTAATATTATCCAAAGTTTATAGGGCATTGATTTAAACTGTGCTCGTGTTGGAGTTTCCTATCCAATGGTTATACGGTGGCTCCTGTGATTTGGTGCCAGTGACTTACTACCCAGTGCACAAGTTACCAAACTGTAAGAACAGTCAGCATCTTTGCAGGAAAAAAGCAAATGGCATACATGTAGGACACTTCCTCTAGGGCTGTTCTCTCTCTGCAGTGTATGGATTTCCCTTCCAGTTCCCCATATTGTATTAGCAGGCAGCATTGCTCACCTTTTCTGGCAGACTAAAACTTCCCTGAAAAGGAGGATGCTCAACAAAGAGGTCTTCTGCAAGTTCAGAGCTTTCCATCCACTTATTGTCAGTGGTTTTGGTCATGGTTCCCTAGGGATGTTCCCACTAAACTCCTTTTTTATGGAGCATTTAACCACTACCCCAGGGCTTTCTGCTTTAATGTGTCCATGCAGTTCCCTTGCACCCATAATTATTATTTCTGGTTTTCATTGTTTTAAGCCTTGTTCTCATATTTCCTTCCTGACCCCCCTCCCCCACATAGATTTTTCTAAACTTTAGGAACTTCCTAAACTTGAGTTTTCAAGGCTGAAATCTGGTGAGACCTGAGCAAAACTGTCAGACAGAAGTTTCTTATTTGGATAACCCTGCCCTTATAGGGTAAGCCCTGACAATGTGGATTTCCTGATGCTGAGCTATCTCAGCTAGCATCTCCTCTGGATCCTTGGCTTTGATTCAGCCACCTCTTCTGCCATGCTGGGGCAAATGTTGCATCAGGGATGCTATCGGCTTTGCTGTCGGTGGAAGGAGATGGGAGGACAATTGGGAGGAATGAAGCACAGCAGTGGCAAGCCAGGATGTGATGTGCACCACGAGGAGAAATGTTGCTGCTTGTGTGTGTTGTTAAGGGTCTTTATTTACCAAAGGAAGGAAAGAAAAGGAGTGCTGCACAACAAGGGCAAAAGGAAATCATTCTGATGCAGAAGGATGCTGCAGCCACTGAGAGAATTGCTAAGCAAGATTATTTAAATCCCTAGGAAATACAGCTGTAATATGTACCTGAACGTAACATGGCTTTGATTCAGACTCCATACTTAATAAATGAGGTTAACCATTTGCCTAGCATCCTAGGAAGCATGAGAACAGCTCCTTCCATCGATTTTATTTAAGTCTATTTACAGTATTGCTCAGCAATCTCGTGATGAGTAAATTGAAACCTTTCTAACAAAACGCTTTACAGTAATTCTTTTTTCCCCAGTGCCATGTGCATGCCAATTCAAACTGAGGGGAGACGTGGGGTGGGGGAGAAACAGGCAGCGCTGAAGATTGGACCCATTTTACTACTGGAGTGGCACGCACTGTTTTCATGTCAACATAATTCGCCGCTGGAAAGCAGTCATGGAACTGATTTCACTTGCCTGCGTTCCTGCCTTGGCGAGGGGGGCACGTGCCCTGCAGGGATGTTTCGGCTGCCTGCCGTTAAAAAATCTGTTTGCTGTTTTTACTGCCTCAGCAGTGTATGTAAATAAAGGATTGTTATAAAGCCATAATTCCAGTGCAATGGGCCCTGACTGTACGTTGGTGGTTCTGCAGCCCAGCCCACAAGAAGGCATGGGCATTTTTGTTTCCACCAGGCAAAGCGATCCTGTTGTTAGTGTCCTCCATATGCAAGAAGGCCACGTAATTAAATTCCGTACAGCATTGCAAATGCTAGTTGTGGAGCCACAAATTGCAGCGTGCATTTAAGAATCATCAGCCATTGTATTCGCTGACATAGATGTTAGCAGCTGACTTTCATTTAAAATAGAAAAAAAAGTAATAACTCTTCACTTTTTATCTTAAGAAAGACAATGCCAGGTTTCTTCTTTTTTGGTGAGGGGAAACATTCAAAAATATACCATGCAAAGGTCCTTTTCCTAATCGCAGGGCATTCAGTAGCATCACAGTCTCCTGACTAACATTTTCTATGATATTATCCTCCTGTTAAAGTTTCTGGAGAACAATGTTCGTTTTCCTAAACAGAGAGTATTTGGCATAATGATAGGATTTGTTTTAATAAATAAATTGTCTAATTTGAATTTTACAGAGCAGATTTGGTATACTGTTAACATCCTTTTTCTTACAAAAACCCTACTGTGCTTTACAAGAAAATTAAGAGAGAGAAAAAGGAAGCTCCAATTTATAGCTAACTTTAAAAGAAAACAGTCAAGCAAAGGTTACCCAACATTATAACATGAAAGAGTTGCTGGCTGCATGCCAGAAATCAAAGGGGCCGTGTCTAATTTACATATAATTTGCATAAATTGATCATCTAAACCACAAACCTCCATAATAGTATTCCTGTTGTGAGATCTTCCTTTCAATAGAAATGCCTACTGCCCTGTTCACCATTAATAAAAAGCTGCCTTTGACTACCTTCCACTTCATCCTGCAGTTACAGGAGTAGGGTGATATTACGGCCCTGTTTGGGGAATTGCTAAAGCGATGCTGTGTATGCACTAGGAGTATGTGCACGCTGCTGCTGTTAGGGTTCGTGTGGGTAAATTCACAGCAACTTCGAAGCGCCTGGCTCAGGGACAGTGCTGCGCATGGGCTGCCCAGAGCTCGGGACCGATGGCAAAGATACTGCCCCGAAAGGAGAGTTGGCATAGTCCACCCCTGCTGGCTCTTTCTGTCTGACCTCTCTGCACATGGAACAGCAGGACAAAATGGGGACCTTAGCCTGCAGGAGAAAGCATAGATAGCTCAGATGCTCTGAGACATCACTGAGAGTACAGAAAAACCTCTGTGCTTTCAAAATCTGGTTTCTGGGCCAGCAGAAAGCGACCATGACATGAAGCTCTGCTTGCACTCATGTGTTCCCACGGGTCCAAATCAAGTCCTGCGGCAGCAGTGTATTCTCAGCATTGTCGGTGGTTAAAGAGAGGGCACTGTGTGTCCAGAGACCCCACAGGGAGATCCCCTGCACGCTTTAAGAGGGCTGGGAAAGGGGGACGAGCACTCACTAGGTCTGACAGTTCGGGAGAATCCTAGCAGAAAGAGCTATATATGGCTTTAGGAGAATTTTCTTGGGAGACACTGGAAACCACAGCCCTGAAATATAGGCCACATTCCTCCAGACTTTTCAGTCCCTACCAATAAGTACAGGTCAGTAAATCTATCTTCAAAGAAAGTTGTTAACATTTTGAAACCTGACAAACAGCATGACTTTCAGAAACAGCTTGGCTCTTTGGACTGAAATTTCCCAAGAAAATTCAACCAAGTGTTTAAAGTGTGGTTAAGCTATAAGCTGCTGAATATGAGGTCTTAAAATGGGAAATGTCGCACAACCTTAATAATAGAGTGGCGTTACTAGGTCTGCCAATAGTAAATGTATGTTTAGCTGCATGAATAACAACATGAGCAATCACAGCAATAGAAGGCCTTACTGTAATCAAATGCAAACACTGCGCCAAGGTTTTCAACCACAGAGAGAAACCTCGTGCTTGTAAAGCCTGCAATTATAAGTATAGTTACTTCCTTTTAATTTGATCAGTCCTATATACATCTGGCTTTGATTGAAGTAAATGGCTTATATGAATACGCAATTTTATTTGAACATGAAGCATTTGAGCAAAAATATCTACTGAGTCAAGGACTATGGGCAGTGTGAGGACCAAAAGACATTGCTGTCCCCTCTCCTCATTTTTTTCTTTTTTTCTTCTTTCTTTCTTTTATGTACAGAGTTAAAATCCAAAGGGAGGGGAAAATGCAACCTGGCACTTAGGTGGTGTTTTTACTAAATGTTTTAAAGCATGTTGGCAACATTGACACATGGGCGGGTTTGAGGATTAGGTAGTTCATAAGAATGACATTAGGGAAAAATGGGTGTATTAATACCATAGTCGTGAACTGACCTGGTCTTACTTACGTTGATCTCGCTTTTTCACACACACAAACAAGCCAGCATGCTGTAATGTGAGCATACCAAACACACATCAGTTAATTTTTAAAACCTTTTTAGAAATGTGGGGGGGGTTAATCTTTTTTATGGCTGTGCTTTTAGACATCTGGATTTAAATTCCCACTTTCAAAGCACATACATGCCAATCCTTTCATAGAAAGCACTGGTTTAACAACGACTGAGGTTCATTTTCATACCAACTACTGGCAAGAGGCAATCATCTGTTTGAAGACAGATAAGTTAAATCTGAAGTGGCAGGAATAGGTATGGCTGAAGAACACACAGTTCTTGAAGGTGGCTTGGTACGTCTATAAACATGCCAAAATACAAATGCTGGGAGAGGTCCTCTTCACTTTCAGTTCTTCTCATCAGTTAACTTGCCATGAAACACTATGTGAGCAGGGCCAAGGGCCCGCCTGTTTCTGGACATTGAGTTTGTCAGGTCTAGCTGCACAGCAGGGAAAGAAACTACGTGGGGAGATCAAATGCAAAAGCCAAAGCACGTAACAGATAAAAGCCAGCTACTCTTGCATGTGATAGATAGAAACAGGAGCATACACATGTTCAAAAAAAGAATTGGCAGCAGTTCGGAGCATCCTCTTTAATAAAGTCAAGTAAACCTGAGGATAGACAGACATTCAGATGCTCAGGCTGGGAATGCTACCAACAGAGACGTTCACTGCATAACGGCATCCCATCTGCTGATGGCACCATGCCTGCCTTTTGCCACTGTCTCAGCTTATTAAGTGCCAAGCACTCATAGGCATAGGCAGGAAGCCTGTGTAGCATCCTCACTTACAGCATGTTGCTCTTCGGTAAGGTCTGCGCTGAAAAATCCCTTTTCCTCTGGATAGGGACATGGCAACAAGGCAGGAAGAGAAGCTGTTGGAGTCAAAGGGAGAAGGTGACTCAGCTACATAGAGGGGACTCAGATTAGTGGAGGAGCATGAGAGAAGCCTTATAAGACAACCAGAAAGCCCAAGACTATGTGTAAGCAGGAGAGGGCTGTGTCTACATAATGTTTTAGATCACAAATGAGCGTTGACATGAGTCTTCTGATCATCCCCTCTCACTATGCTTTGGTTCCCACTGTGGAGAGGTGAGGTCTTGGAGGGCAGAACCAGGCTTCCTTCTGGATGGTGCTGAGCTGGAAGACATGCACCAGGAGTGCAGCTAATGTGATCCTAAACCTTAGAATCATAGAATGGTTTGGGTTGGAAGGGACCTTAAAGATCATCTAATTCTAACCCCCCCTGCCATGGGCAGGGACACCTTCCACTAGACCAGGTTGCTCAAAGCCCCATCCAACCTGGCCTTGAACACTGCCAGGGATGGGGCATCCACAGCCTCTCTGGGCAACCTGTTCCAGTGCCTCACCACCCGCACAGTGAAGAACTTCTTCCTTACATCTAATCTCAGTCTATCCTCCTTCAGTTTAAAGCCATTGCCCCTTGTCCTATCACTACATGCCCCTGTAAAAAGTCCCTCTCTGACTTTCCTGTAGGCCCCCTTTAAGTACTGGAAGGCCACTATAAGGTCTCCCTGGAGCCTTCTCTACTCCAGACTGACCAACCCCCAACTCTCTCAGCCTGTCTTCAGAGGAGAGGTGCTCCAGCACCCTGATCATCTTCATGGCCCTCCTCTGGACTTGCTCCAACAGGTCCATGTCCTTCTTATGTTGGGTGCCCCAGAGCTGAATGCAGTCCTGCAGGTGGGGTCTCACGAGAGCAGAGTAGAGGGGGGAAAATCACCTCCCTCGACCTGCTGGTCACGCTTCTTTTGATGCAGCCCAGGATACAGTTGGCTTTCTGGCCTGCAAGCGCACATTGCCGGGTCATGTTGAGCTTCTTGTCAACCAACACCGTCAAATCCTTCTCCGCAGGGCAGCTCTCAAACCACTCATCGCCCAGCCTGTATTTTTGCTTGGGATTGCCCAATCCATGGACCTTGCACTTGGCCTTGTTGATCTTCATGAGGGTTGCATGGGCCCACCTCTCAAGCCTGTCAAGGTCCCTCTGGATGGGATCCCTTCCCATTACCTGGATATTAAATTAAAAGTGTAATAAAAACTCTTTGTTAGACCTAGGATGCACTCCTGACCAAAAGGGTTTTCTTTACGATTGCACTTTGTCCATGGCCGTGTGGCTACAATGTGCTGTAGCGGGCAAAATTACAGCCCCTGCTGAGAGGTTTGGAGAAGCATAAAGGTCTGCCAAGTCTGCTGGCCAAGTCAATATATGCTGTGTACTGAGCCATCGTATCAGCTCTTCACATCCCTACTCCATGAATTTTGACATATGCTTTGCTGTGTTGGAGACCTCCCGGGTGAATGCTCTGCAGCTCTGAGCATGTGTGTCACGGGAAAGTTCTGTGTCTTTTGCCAGTGGCTCAGAGTTGCCAGGTGTAGGGCAGTGCTTCCAACAGGAGGAAAAGTCAGTGATAAATATTGTCATTTAATACTGTCTTGTTTTATTGCCTTTTTTATTTCTAACTTTGATCCCTAGACTTAGAATCTGTACTGAATACTTCAGTCTTCTAATATCTGACTGTGTTCCACCATCATTAAATCAAATTCAGTCAAAAATGTAGGCTTTCAGAAGCACACTTTTCATTTTGGTCTTGTTCATACATTGCCCAACAGAGCTCTGAACCATCTGGAGCATTCAGTTTAATCTCCTCTTAGTATAAAATGTTAATTGAAGTTAGTGCATCTTTAATATAAACAATAAGCAACAATAATAATTAATAAATCCATGTTCCTTTTATACTTAGTGCTTAAAGGATTTTTTTTTTACCAACTCAGTATTTCTTAAGTTTTTCTGCAGTGAATAAATGTAACAGAATATGTTACAGACTGAGAACCCAGAACTTAATCAGCTGAAACAATCAGAAGACATGAAAAGAAAGTGACTCAAAGGCTTTATCTTGCAAGTGATTGGCAACTAATAACTTAGGTACAGAAAGCTGGTTTTTAAGGTCACTTTAAAGCTATGTAGGTTTAAAATATCAGTCAGCAAATAGAACATACCTATTCTGCTATTATATATGGCAACAGATTTGTTTATGAATAAAATATTTTATATTTGAATTGAACATTTTCATTTCAGTTAAACTCATTGAGATATATATATATATAAAAAAAAACATTACTGCAAATTTTTGAACTATAGATGTCACTGTTCAGTCATAAAATGAAGCACTGAAACAGCCTTATTTATTCATGCTGTGATTTCTACCTACAGTATTTCTAGATCAGGTACTTTGCCAACTAACAATAAATCTTTCATACAGATGGCATCAAAATGCAATGCCTGGCGCGGTCGCAGTTTTGTAATTCTTGAGGCACAGATCTCTACAGGTCCAGAAAATTGTTTGCATTGTCTGAATGAGATATGTGTAAGACACAAAAAAATAATCCCATCTTGCTGGTGCTGACCAAATACACTTTCTAGGAATCCCCAAAGTCAAATCATTTCTCTCCTTAGCTCTGCAACCTTGAAAACAGCAGTGCTTCTATCTCCCTTCCTATAGCAGGACAATGAAACAGCATGATATTTAAGTATCTCTTTCATTTATCTTCAGTTAAATAGGATTGGACTCTTGACTGAATACGCCAGCAAGTCTGGTTCCAAGTTTGTTCTCTAAAGCCTGTCCTCATGAAAGAATTCAATTAGAGTAACTGAACAAGGCGAATTGAACCAGATGGGACATAAAAGATGGGGGAGCCTTAATGCAGAATTGCTTTTGCCTCATGCCTCTGCACTGGGCTTTTCCATGTTGTTTCCATGAAATTCTTTTCCTTGTAACTGTGCTGGAAACTCCTGCCTTGTTTCCTAGAGCAGTGGCTTTTAAAATATGTTTGGGTTTGGGGTGGGGGTGGGGGGGTGTCAGGTGTATAGATATAAATGGTTTTTAAAAATATGTTTAGAAAGCTCACCACAGAAGGATGATATTTCAGCTACATCAGTTTGTTCTCCAATAACTTTGACACTGAACTGAGTTGCATTCAACCATTTCATCTCTACCCCCAGCAGTATTAATGGCAGGAAAAGTTCCTTGTTCCAGTTGTTTAATATGCTATATTCAGTAAGTATGTGAACCCCATAACTGGAGCTTGAACCTTGCCTGCACATCTGTTTGGGGCATTTAGATTATGTAAGCAGTTTTTTAAAATACCAGCCAGAGTGTTTTACAGATGTCCAGGAAAATTTTGCTAGTTCAACATCTCTAATCTGGGATCCTTTCCATCCCAGGGACTGCCTTAGCCATTTCATGGCTTTCACAACCTACATGTTCCTTGCTCTTTTGAAGTGTAAAAGCACTTGGATTTCAATATCCAGTTCACAACATAACATAAAGAGACATACTGCTTCACTGGATTTCTTCGTGACCTTAAATAAAGTTTTTATTAATGGCATCGTGCCATACAAAATCACAAAGAGAGGGAAAAATAACAAGAGATTTGTCATTTGATACTTGGCAGAGTGAACTGATGAGTTTAAAAAACCCATGATGTTGCTCCGCTGATGGCAAGTAACATGGAAGTAGGACTTTGATCCCCTACAGGGTCCCCCTCCACTTGAGTGGACTTATGTCTGATGTACTGCAGCCACTGATTAATCAGTCTCTTAATGGCACACACTGCACATAGTCAGCTCTGATTAGAGCTGGTGTTGCCCAGTTCAGCTGGTATTATGAAGTGTAAGTTCATGCCCAGATGATGCTCTTTATGAAAGTGGTAAATATCACTACTAAGTGTTTTATTACTGTCACATCCCTACTGTGTCATCCTTCTAAAAGGCAGGCGTGGAAAAGCTCTCAGCTCATGAATTTGTGCTTCAGTGAAGCCCCTAAAGGAGTGTGGGCTGCCACTATCAGCAAATAAGGTCTGTATTTTCAAAAATATTGGGAGATGCATCCTTGATCTAGAATATTTCTGGTGACCAAAGTTGTTCATGGACAACATTTATTCTTGTCTGAATCATGACAATCAGGATGGCCTGGGCTGCAGCTATTCCTCTGGTCCCTGGTTGTAGACATGAGCTCCAATTGCCCAGACATCCCAGATAAACAAACTCTTGTCTGGAATTAGTGTGGACCACACAGGCATACCAGAACAACTATAAACGTCCCCTTTCTCCCACAGTACAATATATTTTTTGGAGTAAAGAAGCCAAATGGATCCCCTTGCTTCTAGACAGATACAGTGTTAGGCTTCTGATTTATTTCTCTGTGTCCCTCACCTCCCAGGCTACCAGTGCAATTGCCTCTCCCAGTTTACGGGAAGGAATTGTGAGTCGGAGATCACAGCCTGCTTCCCAAATCCCTGCCGGAATGGAGGCTCATGCGATCCCATCGGCAACGCTTTCATCTGCAACTGCAAAAATGGCCTGACGGGAGTAACGTAAGTGACCCTCCCCAGGTGGGCAATGGGAACTTTTCAATTCAGTGACGGCGGGTTATTTGATCAGGCATTTTGTACTCAAAAGCTATGATTCACTTAGCAAAAAATAAGCCAAAAAATTAGTGCTTATTTCAAGTATAAGCTAATGACAGCTGAGAAATCCATTAGGCCTGCATTCAGAAATGCTTTTCTGAACTTGGCCTAATTATTAGTATGCTAAATTATTATTTCAGGATGTTATCTCCAGACAGTTTTCACTGAGATATGTACACCTAAGTGTTAGAGGCTTTTTGAGCAATCCCACAAAGCCTGTAGAAACTGCTATGTAATTTTTTTTTTTTTCAAATGGATCAATTATTTAGTCATCTTAGCCTGGACATAAAGCCTAATTTATTGCGTTCATTTTTTTAAAGTCCCAGCCTTGATCGTATACTTGGTATAAAAACAGAAAATCCCCTGACCTGCCCCTCAGCATGGTTTTTTTTCTCATCTAGTTTGTCTACTGTTTGTATTTTTTGTTCTGCCTTTTTCTTGATCGCCTGTTCTTCTTTCCAGTTCTCCTCTCTCTTTAAGGTTCCGGTTCTTTTTTTTCCCTACTTCTCTAATATTTGCTGATTTTATCTCCAGCCCTAAATAATTTTACACAGTCAGTATAACCTCCTTTTCTCTTAAATAAGTACTCTGATTTTTTTACTATATTTTTTCTCAACTATTTTCTCCTTCAATCCTCCTAATGTTTTGTATTGAATCCCATGGGATGGTCCAAAAACAATATAAAAAGGCTGAGATTGTCTATTACATTGAGTGAGCCTCATTAGGGTCAAGTAGCCTTTTCCTATCCGAGGCTTTAAATTCTTATTTCTTTCTTGATGTTTCTATTTTATTGTCTTAAAAAGCCATGAAATACCTGTAGAAAAAAATAAATACCATTAAATAATGTGATAACAATATGATCATTTGCCAAGCACCAGCAAGGTCTTAACTGTAATGGTACCACTTTGACAAGATAAGTCATCATGTACAAGCTGGGCTGTTTGCTAGGTGTTCTCCAAACTCCAAACTCTCCTCTTCTTCTTTTCAGGTGTGAAGAAGACATCAATGAGTGCGAAAGAGAAGAATGTGAAAATGGTGGCTCCTGTGTCAACATATTTGGTTCATTTCTGTGTAACTGCACCCCTGGCTATGTGGGGCAATACTGTGGTCTTCGCCCCGTGGTGGTTCCCAATATTCAAGCTGGGCATTCATACGTCGGCAAGGAGGAACTGATAGGAATAGCCGTGGTCCTGTTCATCATATTTGTGCTGATCATCCTCTTTATCATCTTCCGCAAGAAAGTTTTCAGGAAGAACTACTCCCGCAACAACATCACACTCGTACAGGATCCAGCTACTGCCGCCCTGCTCAACAAGAGCAACGGCATCCAGTTCAAGAACATCAGGAACAGCGGAGACAGCAGAAACATCTACCAAGAGGTTGGGCCCCCGCAGGTCCCGGTGAGGCCGATGGCCTATACCCCGTGCTTCCAGAGCGACTCACGGAATAACCTGGACAAGATAGTGGATGGGCTTGGTGTGGAGCACCAGGAGATGACAACGTTTCATCCCGAGTCCCCTCGAATACTGACGGCCAGGCGGGGGGTGGTGGTGTGCAGCGTAGCTCCCAACTTGCCCGCCATGTCTCCCTGCCGCTCCGACTGCGACTCCATCAGGAAGAGCACGTGGGATGCTGGGACGGAAAGTAAGTGCTGCTCCATGCCAGTCTTGCTCTTCCCTGCCAGAGGTAGGGGTTGCCTTCAGGGTGCAGCAGGTACAGTGGCACAGGTACCTTTAATGCTCCAACCTCATACACTTAAAATTGTTATATTTCTCCAAGAAGAGGTTTGGTTTGATTTTGAAAGGTTATAATTAAACTAGGCATACAAGACCTCTACTTCTATGCATTAAGTATGACTAAACGCATTTATTTCACTTGTTCAGAAAGCACGTATGAGTAAGTGCTCTGAGCATTAGTTCTTCAAGTGATACAATGCAATTATCTTTCTATTGGAAAAAAATAATTTGGGGAAGAACTCTCAATTATAAACTCTGCTAGGTTTGGGCAATTTGTCTCCTGGGGGAGTTAAACTTTCTGGAAGAAGCAATCCTGTTTTGCAACGGGGACAAATGAATTAATATTCTCTACTTCCAGTGTCTATGAAATTAAGCAGAAAATCATGCACTACTTATAGGATCACCTTTTCAGAACATTGCATTCCCATCTGCATTCAGTATCAGAGTGATCACAAAATTTCTGATCCCCACGCTTGCCCTATTGGTGCTCTGATGGTTTCTCACTTGATAACACAGTGCTCCCTCCATTCCTGAACAAGTTGCTGGAGATGCAGCAAACATCATCTCTTTAGTCATAGCAGGAAATACCAGTTTGCTGGGACACGGTTGCAGCCCAGTGTTGTCTATCCTTGCAAATCAGAAGGTGTCATATGGACTGGGAGATGGTTGCTTTAGCATACAGGGGGGTTTTATGATGTTTTCTCTTTTTTAGTAGTTTTTCCTAATGCATCTTCAACTCCACTGCAACACAGCCTTAACCAAAACTGTCACATAAAACTCCATGATCCAGAAACTCTCATAGTCCTGTAGTTCTAGGCAATAGGAATTGAGGAAAAGAGAGAGGCATCAGGCACTGCCTCATACCTGTGCCCTGACCTGCACATTTACATCTAAGGCAGTATGTTGGCTAAGGTCTTCTAATGAAAAACAGGAATTAATTTTCATTTCTTTGGACTGTATTTCACGGTTGTGTTGTGGTTGACCGTTTTAACCATTAAATATAGTTTTGCTGATTGAAAGCATCAGCACGCCAGTCCCCACACGTGCTCTGTTCTGTATTCTCCTGGGTGTTTCTGCCGCAGACGCTGCTGGTATCTGTATGAATTTCTGCACAGCATGAGGCCACGCCATGAGACGGACCTCAGCTGTCAAGGAGTGGGAAGCAGTGCAGCTTCATTACTGCAGCACTCGCTCCGTCTCCTACATACCCTGCTGCTCAGCAGGAGCAAATCAGCCCTTACTGCATGGAGGTGCCTCATGCTGGGTAGAAATATCTACAGCTAGCAGGCGGAAAGCTGTACTTACGTGTTTGCAGCACCTGGGCTTGTTCATTTGTAATTATCTCAGGTATCTATCTCAGTGCTTACTATGGAGGGTAACTTTTTGTGTTCCTTATTATCACTCATATAATGTGTAGCTGAATGTGTTTATTCATGTGTGTTTAATTACACAAGAATTTATACCGTAGGCTGCAGTTACATTTCTAAACTGTAGAAGAGTTGTCAAGACTGAATGTCCCTGATGAAAAGCAATGTAAATTGAAGCATAATCTATTATATGTCAGTGGTGGAGCCATTAAAATCTGATCCGAGGGCCACCAATGTGAATAAAAAGATGCACAATATGTTTATTGAGCATTGAATGAGCCTTTAATGAGGCTCTCAAATTAAGAAATGAACAGTAAAGATAAATGTAACTGTAATCTCCTGTATAAGATGTTTATACCACATTTTTTCAGTCATCATTTTCTTGCTGCTGAGACTACATGTCATCTAAAAAGGCAATACTGAATACAGATGTTTCCTCCTTGATTATAGTGGTGTCAGCCACTTGAAAGACTCTTTGGGCTTCAAATGCTTCAAAAGTCTAGGTATCTTTGTCAGCTGCTTCCTTGACCAATAGGTCATTTCCTCTGTCCGAAGGAAATTATTTTATTCTGACAAAAATAATAGAAGGTTACTTGTTGGCAGGATTTAAATGGCTCCGTGGTATAAGTAGACAAATCTGCATACCTAGAGAGTACCATTTTGCTTTGTTTTTGCTGTCAATGAAGGTAAAGGGGTTGATGACGCTGAAGAAGTGACCTGTTTTGCAGGAAGTAATAAAGGCAGCAACTCCGAAGTACAATCCCTCAGCTCCTTCCAGTCTGATTCCGGTGACGATAATGGTAAGAAACGGTTTCATCTTTATTATGCTGGAGACAAAGCTATTTAACTCTCTTTCTAATATTATTAAAAACCTTTAGGTGACATCTAGAAAGCCCTTTAATGATATAGAAGTCAGAAAGTCCTGGGTTCAAACCCTCACTTTGTGTCCATTTTTTAAATTATAGGAACATAATTAAAATCTTGATGCTTGGAGCTGGTATATCAGTACCAAGCTTTACAGTGAATTAGAGGTGTGATACAGCAGAGTCATGTTGCCAAGACATAAGTTGACTAATAGGTTGCAAGGGAAACTGTAGGATTTCTATCATTTTCCTTCTTGGAAGAGGATGACTTTCATGTTTCATCAGTCAAATTAAAGGGAATTTCTGTGCCGTTTGCCAGGTCTCATTCATGGCCCCAGCAAAACTCTGCTGGTGCTCAGCAGCAGCCGTGAGCGGATGAGCCAGTCCCTGGTGGCTTGGCCTCTCCCTGGCACTCACAGCTCAGCGAGCAGTAGAGCACCATTAAATCTTTGCTCGGTGCATGTTCGTTGCCCGCTGTCATGTCCTACATCATTATCTCAGTGGGTGACATGGGCAGAGCCATATACAGCCTGAAAGAGGCCTACAAAGTCAGAGCAAACCTTTGTTCCTATGGCCCATGTATGTTGAGCGGTGGGTCTTAGAAAAGGCAAGATGTTCTGCTGGGGAGGGATGATGGATGTCAGGGAAGCCTCATTCAGATACACGGAAAAAGATTAGCACAAAGAAATTGCACTTAGTTTCCTCAGCTGCCAGTTAATGAACTGTCTGGAGACTCAGTTCCTCAGTCATGTCATGCAGCTCTTCCCTAGGTACTCCTAAACGTTGGAAAAAGCACTTAAAGAGAAGTGCACTTGCAGTTCCTTTTGGTTCAGCTGTGGCTGAAGCATTATGAGTATTTTTGGCAAGCTTCTGAGTGCTTTTCTGCCCCTGCACCCCCCAAAAAACACCCTTTAGTGTTTTTCAGAATTATTAGAATTACTATTATTTCAATAATATATATTTATATAGTAATTACCTTTAGAGTAATTATTCAGGTACTCATTTATTGTATGTGGTTACTTTTTATATCTCCCAGATTCTAATTAGGCTTTTCAAGCATCTGATCCTGCCCCCATTTAAATCAGTGACACAGTACCCACTGAAGCTGGATTGGAGCTTCTGTGCCCGCTCATTTTTTTCTGAAAGCTGTATTTAAAATATGGCCTTCAGAGATAACAATTCTAGTTGAGGGTCTAAACAAATCCATATCTTCAGGGAGAATTAGGGAAGAAACTTAAATCATCTGAGTTGCTTTGCAGAGGTCAATGCAAGACTGCATGCTCCGTTTTTTGCAGCAGCAGCAGGGAGGGTTTGCAGTGCAAGAGCTTAATATATAAATACAGGCACAAGTAAGCATATATACGCTCATATACATGTTCATAGGGGCTAACGGATATCCCTCTTGAAGCCATAGATCCTTGCCCTTCCTGTCATTTGTTTGGCGCCAGAGAAGCACTGGGACGCATCCCACCGAAGGCGTGAACAGCCCTACGCTGTTCAGTTTGTATCAGGTGCAGGCAGCCTCCGCTCACCCTCTCCATGGTGCTTGGAGCCTTCTCTTGCTGGGTCGAATACGGGTTGTCTCACCATGCAAATTCTCTTGGGGTGTGATTTTGAACCTACTTTTATTTCTTCCACCTTAATTCTACTGTATTTAAATTGCTCGGCTCCCCTAGCCTTGTTGAGAGTAGTTACCAGTATTTTTTGTGATCAAAAGCAAAAATTTTTATTAGCCATAAATGTAAAAAAATAAAAGTTGCCCACCTCCAGCAATAATATTTTGGGAAGTCACTTCAACGGCAAGTTACATGTTTCCATGGTAACTATTTTGAATGGGGGGATAGGGCAAGACAAAAGCGTATTTCTAGGTTACTGTTTCACTGCAGGCCAGTGGATGGTCGTGCTGGGAAGTCCAAGGAACTGCTGTTGATGACAGCAATTCTTACCGCTGAGCAATGCTGTATTTGGGGATTGCCTTGCACTGAGCTGCCTGGGGTAAAAGTTTCCCTCCCTTCTGTGAACATGCTCTGCTCAGCTCCCACCAGAGCCAGCCCTTAGTTACGATGAAGACTGTGCTGGCCCTGATTTTTGACCTTCTGTTTTTCATTCTCGGTTGTTCTCCTCCTACAGTAACAGCTGCCCTCCACCTCCTTTTGCAGCCATGCAGCAGCTAATTACATGGAGTCACTTATTTTTCCATAACGTTTATTATGCCTTAGCCAATACAAGTCTCCCTTGTAGAGTTACCAACGCTGTTGATGGCATAACATGCTCAACGCAGACACAGAACACAGTTCTTTGGTTTATCAAGGCTCTTTTTGCCAAGCCTTCACAAGGACTGAGGAAATTGGATGAAATCCTTGATCACATGCCCAAAATTTAACAAAAGCATCAAAATATTCAACATATATTTGAATGGCACTATTACTGTCAACATGTTCCTTGTGACCTCTAAGTCTATTGGCTGCGTGAAACAAAAAAGGATGTCTTGCCCAACTTTTCTGGTCCCCTTCTTAGCCTGCTCCAAAGCAATCAGTTTTCTCCTAATTATAAGACAAAGGAAAAGGGATGGATCCAGTACCCACTGAATCGGAGCTTTCCCTCTGGTTTTAGTGGGTTTTATTTCAGGTCCTCAAAGGCAGGGGTGTGTGTTAGTCCAAAATGCAGATCATCTAGAGGACCACACATTATAGGCCTGTTGGACTCCATGTTAAACAATTGCACGGTCTGTATTAATTATTTCAAGTGAAAAGTATGTTTTGGTAAAACACCTGCAGAGAACACACAAAGCATTTGTGAAAATGTTCTGTCAAACACAGATCAAAATTTGAACCAAACCTACTTGGATGTGTCCTCCTAATTACAGCAGTACTGCTTAATATCCCAGAGGTATTACATGGCACAGCACAAACAGTAAATAAGTAAAACATTCCTCTTAGGAAATAGATTGAGCTTAACACCATTTCAGATGGTGTGATGGTCTAAAAGATAATGATCCCTTGGAGTACATGGCACCATCTCTAGAGACCTTTAAGCAAGAATGAATTAGAAATTAGTGTCAGGTGGACAAGATACTGCTTTGGTTAATTGAATCAGCTGGCCAGTCTGCTTGAATTTATGAGGTGATACATATCATCCCATATGCCTTTCTGGAAATGCTGGTTTGGAATTTATCACCAGTCTGAAACAATGTATGGGATTATCTGAAATGAAATGTCCTGCAACCCACTGCATAAATCATGCATTGGTCTGCAGCCTTTTTTATTTTTCAATGTCAGTTCTGTCTGTTTGAGAGAATTTATTGTGGTAACGTATGATGTGTGTTTTAAATACTAACCTGAAGCTGTCCTTCCCCTCCCTTTATTTTCTGCTTTCCCTCCCCTGCAAGCTTCCATAGTGACTGTCATACAGCTTGTCAACAATGTAGTTGACACTATAGAAAATGAAGGTATTTAAATTTTTTTCTTTCTTGTTATTCAACAATGCTTCCTGTTTTCATTGTGAAACATTCCAGCAGAACCTCACTAATCTGCACTGACCGGCAAACTTGTGGCAGGGATTGGGTTTTGCAGATCAGCATGTTCACCAGCAAACACGAAAACACCAGAGGGATGTACCACAAAATATCTGTGGGTAATTGGAGGTGGTAGAAAAGGTGTCAAGGCCTTCATCCTCTTCTGTTCAAGTCAATGTTTTTGCTTGCTTATTCCCATTGCCTTCAGAGGAAAGGATTAGGTTGACAATGGAGCCAAATCATTGAGATTATCCTGGCTGCAGAGACTGGGAAACAGAAGAAGACGCAGGAAGGCTGTAAAGTGTCCCAGGCTGCAGTAGAGCTGGGTTACGCACTCCAGAGGGACCACGTGGAGAGGAGCAGAGTGGTGGTAGGCAGGTGGCTGGTTTCTCCCAGGTAACACTGTCAAACAGAAGATGTGTAGACACAACTCCATGGATGCCACGTAGCAAGGCAGCCGGCCTGCCACTGCCTTCCCCTGGGGTTGATGTGCCCACTGAATATGGGTCCAAGGACCCAAGACTCAGCTCTGCCACTGACCTCCTGGGTAACCTCAAGCACGTTATCTTACAAGTGAACTGGTTTCCCTACCTGTAAAACAGGAATATCACTTTTTTCTTCTTCCGTAAAGTACTGGGGAAACGTGATGTATGATAGATAAACATTACTTTTATTTATTTGTACAACATTTACCTTATCCTTGGGAAAATGTCAACTCAACATCAACTCAAGTTATCCACAAGTCCAAAATTTCATATGTCTTTAGCAAATTTAAGCCAGGTTTTGCAGATTTCAGCTAATCCAGTCTGCATAATGCTTAAAGATGATCAAGTAAATTATTTTTGTGAAAAGACTGATTTTTTTCTTCAGCCAGTGTCACGGTAATTTTGAAAAGCACTTTTACTCCTTGCTAGTGATGGCACTTGAGTATTTGTCTATAGTACATTTACTGATTTCCTGAAGTGTAAGAGTGCCATTCTTCTCGCTATCAAATAAAATGAACTAGCCAAAGTTAATTCAAAAAGAAAGTCCCGCTCAAAAAATAAGAAAATAACCTTGAAAAGAAACCATAGCCACTGTAAATGGCCTTGCCTTCCTAAAGGAAAGCTTAAGCAAACACATTGGCTCCCCATCATACTTTCCAGGTCAGAAAAAGCCAGCCTGGCATCAGTTTCAAGAGGCTGTCCCTGAAAATGCTTTTCCCGCTTCCCAGTTCCTTATCTGAGACCTATGAACCTTGCATGCTCTGCAGCAGAGCTGGTGAAGGCAGCGAGCAGTTAGCCGCACCGGAGCTCCCGGTGCCCGGCGGGCAGGATCGCTGCCGCGGAGCCGCGGGAGGATGGGGCTCCTTCCCCAGGGAGCTGCCACGGGTCGTGCAGGTCAGCACATCAGTGAGGTTCTCCTGGATCCTGAAACCACGCAGCTCGGAGGGACCTGACGCATCTCGGGTGCAATGTCATTACACTGACCAAAAGACAGCAAAATCCACTTTAGGAAAAAGAGAGAAGTGAAGAAGGAGAAGAGTGGTTAGGGCCGGTTCAGACACTGCTGCTAAACCTGCAGTAGCCCCAACCCTCCTCACCCCAGGCTAACGCAGAGCAGGTAGAAAGCTACTGTCTGGCTAACGAGCTAACGAAGAAATCGCTATCACCACATGCGCTATGTGGTGATAAGCAAGGGCAAGAGTGGTCTCCAGTAGATGGAGGCCTGGAGAATAGTCTTCTCTGCCCTCGTCTGTGGCTGAGCCCCAAGGTTAACCACTGTAATGCCATAAAGGTCTATTTGTCTGGCCAGACCTCCTCCAGCAATGCAGTCGAGAGACCTTGCCCAGTGACTTCTTGCATGAAGCCCAATAACATGTGGCTAAACAAGAGCATCTCATCTAGAAAATGCTGCAGCTTATTCCCCGCCCTCGTCTCACATAAAACCTCTTTCCTTGCTCTCTCCCCCACCCCTGCACCCTCTCCATACTGGAATGCCTCCCTCCCCACCAGCTAGCATGGCAGTGCAGGTGGGAGGTGGGTATGGGGTTGTGGGGCATTGTAGCTGACGGCCCCATTAAATGGCTTTGTATTCTATTCTATTCAGGTTCTTATACCGTGCCCATCACCATGGTATCTGAGCCCAGGTGGGCCCAGATTTGTTTGAACCGGCCCTGAGAATGGTAGATTCTTATTTTTCTGTTTCAAAGTGAACAAGTGAGAGAGAAATGTACTTTGCAATTATAAACCGTAGAAATGGTGGATAGCCCTTTTTGTATTAAGAATTCCAGCTCTAATGTAATTCCGTATCTGTTCAGTGAGGGTAAATAATTAAGATATGATAGAAAAGGAATATAATACACGTGACATAATCATTTCTTTATGTATGTCTCCATTTGACTGGGCAAGCTTATCTTGTATGCTAAAATAAAGAACAATTAAAAATCCTATTAAAACGACACGGAGGCAGCTGTACTTTAGAAATATGCATGCAGAGTTTTGTATTTTCATGTATAATGCTGTGCTGGTAACAAGCTCCAAGTTACCAGTTTTTACTTTTCACTTTGTATCTGACAGTGTCTGTTATGGATCAAGGACAGAACTACAACAGAGGTGATTTTTTTCTGAGACGCTTTCTGCCTGTTGGACTGGGCTGGGGTGGGCAGGGCACTGATTTGATCTGTTTTTTTCTTGAACTGCTTCGCCTGTCTTCTTTTGTTTGAATTCTGTTGCGTTCAAATGCTGCATGAGAATGGCCAGCCACCTTCTTTATTTCAGGATCCAGTTTTCAGTCAATCACATTATTTGCTTGCACACTTTCTTTCTTGCAACGAAGTCATTGGAGGTGGAAGGGGAGACTAGACGTGATACCATAAGCATGCTGACTTCATTTATAGATTTTTTCAAGTAACGGTGAAAAACATTAGTTCAGAGATTTTTGTCATTTTGATTTCTTGGACTCATAGTTTCTAATACAACCTAGTAGCATTCTAAAAGGCGAAATGCCCGAGAGCGGCCGTGTTCTGTTTCTTGGCCTGTTTGCGCTAGCATCATAGCACAATTTTGTTCTCCTCCCCTGCCCCTCCGGTCAGAGCATGGCTGACCTGTGTCGATGGCCTGTGGCGCATGCTGCGGTACGAACGTGCTGCGAGGACTCGGAGGCGAGTGCATGCAGGACGCTTTGTTCTCCTTGGCGGCCCCATCCTAACGGAGCACTCTGGTTCTCTTTCCCGCTGCAGCGTATCATTGGGATACCTCTGACTGGATGCCAAGTGCACGCTTGTCTGACATTGAGGAGGTGCCCAATTTTGAGACGGCGGATGGAGGCTCGGCTCATCACGGCAGTACCAGAGAGCTGGAGACAGATTACTACCTTGGTGGCTACGACATCGACAGCGACTACCCTCCCCCTCATGAAGAGGAGTTTTTAAGCCAGGACCAGTTACCGCCTCCTCTTCCAGAGGATTATCCGGACCAGTATGAAACCCTCCCGCCCTCGCAGCCGGTCTCAATGGCAAGTACGCTCAGCCCCGACTGCAGGCGACGGCCGCACTTCCACCCTAGCCAGTACCTCCCTCCTCACCAGTTCCCCAATGAGACGGACACCACGGGGTCTCAGACTGGGAACGAATTTAGTACTTTTGCTGTTGGCCCAAGCCAGAACACAGAAAACGTTACTGCAGGTAAGATGCCCTTATCCTTGCACAACTCTCTAGATGCCTCCTCCTCTGACGTCTCAGCCAGCTGCGGCTTTGATGACTCCGAAGTAGCCATGAGTGACTATGAAAGCGTGGAGGAACTCAACCTAGAAAATGTTCACATTCCATTTGTGGAGACCCAGCATCAGACACAAGTGTAAAGGAAGCTCCTTCTTCTTCTTCTTCCTCCTCTTCTTCTCTTTTTTTTTTTTTTTTTGTCATTTGGTCAAATTAATAGTATAAATATTGAGAAGAAATTTTGCTGAAGGTGTATCTATATATATTGGGCAAGGCAAAAATACAGTATAACCCATTATTAACTTGTTCAGAAATGATACTGTATGTGCAGACACGAAGAGACCAATTGTGCTAAGTATTATACATCACAAAATTGTTACAGACAATCTGGAGAGTATGTACCTTCTATTTATTACCAAGAGTAAAACTCAGCTTTTGAGGCAGGGGGAAACAATAATTGCTAAATAATTTCTTTCTCTTCCCCAAAGTTTGATTTTTCTTTTTTTTTTTTTTTTTTGTATTGTATTATTAAAAGTGTTACAGTGTTATGGTGTCCCCACAGTATTAAGGAACTGGTATGGATCATTCCAAGATGTACTGTTGCATGAAGTTTTATGTCAGTGAAAGAGTGAAAGCAATTGATCGCTGAGGCTGCTGTGTACAACACGTCAGATGGCTGAAAAAACAGCATTTACAAATTGACCTATCAAAAACAAGTGACCAGTCAATTGCCCATAAATATTTATCTATGCTTTTGTTTGTTACATAGCATTTCATTCTACTTTGTGTGCATATAGAGCAACATCTATACAGTGTATATTTACTCCAAATTGGCCTGCTTTGGTTGCCATTTTTTAAAACCTGATGTCAGGTGCGTGTGCGTAACTTCACCTGTGAGGACTTCTAGAAATGTCGAAGTTTGGCTCAGTAGTGGCCCAGTTTTGCCCCAGCTGCACAGCCTCCCTTCACTTCTGTATGCAATTTGAACATGTATCCGGAAACTTTGGGAAAGCTAACTATCTACAAAGCGCTGCTGTTTTTTTTGAAATTCCTTGCTTGGGCAATCACCTCTTTAACAGCAGTCGTCATGCTATGATTATTGCAGTAAAATTAGTTGCAATTAAGTTGCATATAACGCTGCTGTAACCTCAAATTGTTACCGTAATGTCATTTGGCAAATATCCATCCTTAGAGTTTACGGGATGAGTTCTCAGCTGCTGTAAACTGACTCAGTCAGTGGAACTGCACGGATGGGCTGCGGCCAAAGATCTGGCCTTAGATTTTCCGCTGGATATGTGATTTCATAGGATTTGAGGACTTCCAAAGGTTGTTGGCAGACTTCAGAATATTGTTGTGGGATGAGGAAAACCACAGCATCTGTATGCTTTTATGCTTCTCTCAGCCTGATTGGAGTAAATGGCCTTTCACACTGACTTGGCCTGAGCAGCTAAGTGCAATATGGAAATATGGGATTTTCAGTCAATGTATTAAAGCAGAATATACATACCTGTTGCTCAGTGCTATGAAAATGTTTTTACCACTGCATTTTACAGCATCTGTATACTTTATAGAATGAATGTGAGTCTGCAGTCTGCATTACTGCTGGGGTTTCATCCATTCCTTCCATGGCATAATTCTGTCATTCTGAAAAGCTGTTGAGTACATAAATTGTTGTTATAGATGAACAGATTCATTCACAGGTTTCCTCTGCTGCTTTCCATGTCCTGTCTTTTGGTCAAACATCTTAACTGGATAGTTTCAGCAGTTGTATTCCAGGGCATGTTCTTGACTGACTTGAGTTTCACCCAAAATTAAATTGTGGGCCATTTCTTGACATGCAGGAACTGTTTACTCAGAAATTGCCCCCAACACAAAGAAATTCTTCATAGAATGTAATTTAAATAATTGCAGCTTGTAACACTTTTAATAAAACAGGATTTCTAAAATTCTTGGCATAGGTACCATATGTTGCTGCTTCCCCCCAGTAGCTCATATAGCTGTAAAAGATTGGTGTAGATATTTTCTTTGGGATCGTGCAGCAATTCTTCACTAGAAAACAGCTCATTATACAGGTACATGAATAAATTGAGTGAATTTCTAGAAAGAATGTACTGCACATACAAGTATTATCAAGTACTTGTCTGCAAATAGTTCCTGTCCATCGAATTTATGAATGTCACTTTGTCTTCTCAAAGTAAACATGCTTCTGTAACAGTGATATATTCTGAATGTGCTCATGGTATGTTTCAATCCCTTTTCCCTGCTACTATCCCTGTGTTTTCAAGAAAAAAAACAATGGAAATTTGTATTGCGATTGCAAGGAACTGAGGGATTTGCCAATAAGCCATGAAATGGTTTGGCAAGCCTAGAGGCACAGGTAGAGGATGACTTGCATTGTTCATGAAGTCTATGTTGCAGGAAAGCAGATGCAATTCAAGATGTCTCTTCAAGAGTAGGAACATCTGAGTTTGAAAAACATAGCTGCAAATTTAGCTGCACTTTTAAAGTTGGTATGACTTTCTGAGATTGTAATGCTCTCTTAGCATTGGGCTGCAGTTTACATGAGGTTTGCTCCTACTCAGTTTTAATGTGAGACATTTTCCTCCATTATGTAATTAGTTCTTTTCGAGCCCCCCCCTAGTTATGAAGTGTACTTGTCATCTGTTTCCTGTAGTGAAAATTCTTGAGTACGCCTGAGACACCAAAACCAAAACTTTACTGGGACATATCAAAAGTGTCATGAGGGAGAATATGATGGGAGCCTAGCAGTTGCCATACAAAAAAAAAAAAAAAATCAATGTTTCTTACCAAGCTTGTTGCCTCAGTAATATCTTGTTGGTAGTGAGTTTTACTAGTAAAATATGCATAAATACAATGTATAGTACTTTTTCTGTTTTGATGTTGTTGCCATTTCATTTCACTGAACACCTACTTATTAAAGTGCTGTTGGGAAGGTGCCAAGGATCACCCGTTCAACCTTCTCTGTCCCACTCATGATTTCTATACCTCAATATCTCCTCCCCTCCAAATCGAATAGGCCTAATCCGTCTTCGAACAGATGCCCCTCTGTGAATATTGGTACTTCTGTGGCCTTTATGTTATGTTCTGGCTCTTTTTGATAATGATAAGACCCAAATGCAGATCTCAAGGTGAAATACCTCTTAGGGAGTAAGATTTTCATATTAACATCACTTTTGTTAATCCAAACCATTTTATTTTCTTTTTAATTACTGCTCTACATGGACAAGCTATAATCTTCTAACCTGGAAGTTAACAACACATTCATAACCTAATATAAGAATTAGTGTTCGTATTATTCCATGCAATAGATATTTCTTTTTCTGCCATATGATGATTTTTATATTGCTGCTGCTGTTATTGCCAGGTCCCTGGTTCTGTCAGAGCTTCCCCTCACATCTCTGCTAATCCTGTGTGTCTGTATTTCAATTCACGTTCCTGTAGATGGCTCCACTACACGGTATTTTCTTTTGGAAACATCTGTAGGAGAGGTTTCATAGACTTAATAAAATACTTTTGAGTATCAGTGGATTATAACTCTTAGGATCAAGACAGTCTTTGCTTTTTGTAAAGAAACAACAAAAGAAATAAGCAACTTGTTAAAATGCAAATATATGCTTGTATCAGAAATCACTGACTTTGCCAGGGGTGTATGATTCTGAGTAAAAGGGTGCTTGTTCTCTGCGTTTTGATCAGGTTGAGAATGTCATGCACATTGACAGCCTTTTTGATAACTCTGGCAATGGAAAGAGCCTTAAAGTGACTGACAACATAATTTATGCTGCCAATACCACAGTAAGTGGCCTAGTGCAAAAGGAAAAATTAGGCTTATGTACCTTTCTTAAATATGTTAATTATTTTGCCTTTGTATTATAAACATCTTAAAAAACAAAAAAGGCAAAAAAAACCCACAAAACCATAGATACTGGATATGATTGCTGTCCTGAGCCAGTATCTTATAGCAGGGCAAAGGGCCAAAGGTGGCACCAAGGAGCTGCAGAATCACATCCCTCCAGTGGGGCCAAATGGACAGCCCTGCTAGAAGACCACTGTAAAGTTGCCTTCCTATAGGACACTCCTGTAGGACCCAGCGTATCAAGGCAACCAGGAGGATGTTGCAATGCAGAGATTCATTACAGAACTGTGATTTCTAGTCAATCAAGCTATTTTCCTAAGGCTCGGTGATGTCTTTGATCCTGAATTATTCCATGGGTTTCTTTAACCTATAATTGCAGTAAAAGGCTGGAAGGAGTCAAAGGCTTCTCACTGCCACTGTTTTCCTGAAGTCAGAAAGTTGTGTGCTCCATCTCTCAAGCGGGCTCTCCCTCTCTGCATGTCCCACAGACAAGTTAAATTGTGGTCCTCCGATTTTTTTTTTCCTCCCCTTCTCTAAATTCTCTAGTGTAGTCTGAAGTAGTGCTAGCCTTGATGTATTGGTACCCTCTCCAGTCAGAAACTCAGAGTGGGTGCAGCAAAGTGAAAAAAATGCATGCCACTGAAGTGCTGATGAATGGGGACACAGCAGCCTGTTGTCTCTGTGAGCCAGGCAGGTGGTAAACTTTGAGACTACGACATAAAAAATGTTGCTTTTGGCTCATTATAAATTCCATTGTAAAGAGAAATGTGGGCTGGACAGGACAAATGGTTAAGAACACGGCTTTACTCCTCATTGAGCTTCTGCTAGAAAGAGCTAAATGGATGCTATAGTGTATCCTTATAGCCGATAATAACTGCAGTCATGGAAGAAAGGGTTGAAGGTGCTCTGATCCAGTTCTGCTAAGCTTCATTTGAAAAGAAGCATCTTTAATAATGGACAAAACCAGCTATTTAAAACCAGTAGTGAAAGTACATCTGTGCTTTGTTGGTATTTTTTGGAGCTATCCATTGAGTAATAATGGACATTTCATAGGTTTCCAACGAGAGCGCTACATCTTCAGGTTCATTCTCTGATGGTTTACCATCATTTATCATGCAGTAAAACTGTGCTTTTTGCCTGTTTGCATCTCTGTTCCTCTCAATACACCAAACTGTGGTTTGAGCCTTAGAAATTTAGGATATTGCCCATTATCCATGGCTTTTAGCCTGTGTTTCATAAACATGACATTTAACCTCTCCATTATCGGAAGGGCCATTCAGTTAGTAAATTAGCTGCATCATCCAAGGGATGGGTGGATGGGGAGGAAATGAAATTAAATTCATTTCTTTATGTAAAAATGAAAAGCAATAATTGCAAATATGTTGTATTACACAAAGGCCATAAGTAATCTTTACCAGTGTTAAGAGTGCACTTGAACTGTGTTATGGAAAGAGATTGGAGCCCTCAGAACTGTAGCATTCTTCTGTCATAGGAATACCTGAATCGCTATTATTTAACAATGCAATGAGCCCATACTGCCGCTTTTCAGGAGGTGACAAAGATGTTTAGGAGTGAAAGCAGTTCTCTTTAAAGCACTGTATCAGAAAAGATTGTCTTGTAAATTTTACCTGTCGCAAGCAGGCTGGTTTGTAAAAGATGTATGTTTTGGTGTTTAAAAAGAATTTATAAAATAATGTATATAATGGTTTCAAATTACCAGGCTTTTGTAGATATTTGATGCCAATCAGGTCGCTTTAATTTTTTTTGTTTGTTCGTTTGTTTGATATAATTCTAAAGAGTCATCAAACTTGGTTTAAACTTTTAAGGTAACAGCAAAAAACAA